ATCGCGTCTGGAGACTGATGCAACTTTCTTAAGAGGTGTAGTTGTTGACCGGTCATCAATTCTCATTCAGAATTTAGGTTTGGTCATTGCTGCCTTTATCATTGCATTCATCTTAAACTGGAGAATCACACTTGTTGTCTTGGCCACTTATCCATTGATCATAAGTGGTCACATCAGCGAGGTTTGCGCATCCTTTCCAGCATTAATTTATACAAACACAAAATTTAGTTAGGAGTATAGTGATATTCTTCCATCTTTCAGAAACTATTTATGCAAGGGTACGGGGGTAACTTGAGCAAAGCATATCTAAAAGCAAATATGCTTGCCGGTGAGGCTATCAGCAATATACGAACTGTTGCTGCATTTTGTGCGGAGGAGAAGATCCTTGATCTTTATGCTCGGGAGCTGGTAGAGCCTTCAAAGCGTTCATTTAATCGTGGTCAAATTGCAGGGATATTCTATGGAATTTCCCAGTTTTTCATCTTCTCATCTTATGGCCTTGCCTTATGGTATGAAAGTTTAGCTTCATCATGCCCTTTTCCTCAGCATGTTTAAAATTTAGAGGTTTTTTGTTCTCAATTTTATGTGGAATATTTGAATTATAGTTAATTAATGAACATTCAGAAGACTGTTTGAGCATCTCAGCTTGTTTGGTGTCGGGCATTGCAATAATTAATACATTGCTACTGAGGAATCAATGTCCAAAACTATCTATCCATAGGAATGTAATTGCTCTATTAGCTTATTAGTTAATTTGATTTATCTTAGTTCAAAAAGAGAAAGAGAATTCTAATGCTTAGAGCTGTAAATTTGTGCAGGTATGGTTCTATTTTAATGGGGAAGGAGCTAGCTAGCTTTAAATCTGTCATGAAATCATTTATGGTTTTGATTGTAACGGCATTAGCCATGGGAGAAACTCTGGCATTGGTCCCGGATCTTTTAAAAGGGAATCAAATGGTGGCATCCGTGTTTGACATCATGGACCGGAAGACACAGGTTGTTGGGGATGCTGGAGAAGAACTAACAAATGTGGAAGGTACAATTGAGCTAAGGGGTGTTCACTTTAGTTATCCATCAAGGCCAGATGTAGTAATTTTCAAGGACTTTGATCTAAAAGTGCGTTCAGGCAAGAGTATGGCACTAGTGGGGCAAAGCGGGTCTGGTAAAAGCTCTGTTCTTGCTCTTATACTTCGGTTCTACGACCCAACAGCTGGGAAGGTGATGATTGACGGTAAGTTTTTCTCAGAAAATCTCTGCTCTGCCTACACTTGATTTAACATATAGGGAAAATAGCAAGCATGCTGTAAGTTTTCTGCTTCCTATATGCCCTACTTTGACAATCATCTATAAACAATCACATACTTTCACAATCTAAGACTGCATAAGAAAATCTTGAAATCAGTTGATCTAGTCCAGCCATTCTGTTAATTCTCTCTTTGGTTTCTTATTTGTCAAACACATACAGGCAGAGAAATTAGGAAACTGATGCTGAAATCCCTTCGGAAACACATTGGCTTAGTCCAACAAGAACCAGCTCTTTTTGCCACATCAATTTATGAAAACATCCTTTATGGCAAAGAAGGAGCTTCAGAATCAGAAGTAATTGAAGCAGCTAAGCTTGCTAATGCACATAGTTTCATAAGTTCCCTCCCTGAGGGTTACTCAACAAAAGTTGGTGAACGAGGAGTGCAACTCTCTGGTGGTCAGAAACAAAGAGTAGCCATTGCTCGAGCTGTTCTGAAGAACCCAGAAATCTTGCTACTTGATGAAGCCACCAGTGCTCTCGATGTTGAGTCAGAGCGTGTGGTGCAGCAAGCTCTAGACCGATTGATGAGGAATCGAACAACAGTAATGGTGGCACATAGGCTGTCAACTATTAAAAATGCAGACCAAATATCAGTTATACAAGGAGGAAGAATAATTGAGCAAGGAACTCATTCTAGTTTAATCGAAAACAAAAACGGACCATATTTTAAGTTAATCAACCTTCAGCAGCAGCAGCAGCTGGAAAAATAGCGTCAAATTTCAGTAAGACAATAACAAGAAGAAACAGATTACCGACACAATTTATGCAGGTGCTTTGTTTAATATTTTACCTTGTCTATTTTTTTTCTCACTAGATGTGAATTAATTTATCTTAATTAGAGCCTTTGTTTCCATATGAAGAAAATAATGATAAATACTTGAGAATGCTGTACAAGGGGCTTTTTTTACCATTAGTTCATGGTTACTTTGGATATGACTGTTGGTTTTGGAGAAAAGGGAGCAAAACTGATTGTCATTTCATTTTGGTCAAATAGTTTTGACAGTAATTGGAAGTCCAGTTTTTATGCATAAATCGAGATTTGTTACTTTCTTACCCAGAGTAATCATACCAGCTGGTGCTCTAAAATTCAACTGTATCTAAACATATTGACATTAAAAACATTTCTACCTTGCTGTGACAAACCAAGTGATGAAATGCTTCAACTTAGCTGCTGGATTAGGCTGGAACGTACAGGCCTGTTCAGGTTCGAGCTTTTGAATTATCTAAAACACCCACTTTTTGAGGTTCTAGTTCTAGGATGTTTCATTGGTATAATAATAAAGGGACAAAAACATAGGGTATTCTTTTTCTCATTGTTTTGCACAGTGTATAAATGTTCTTTTATAATTACAGGGTTTATGGATGTGTATAACTAATTAATCAGACTTAGGTTCGTTGTACCAGGACTTTGGATCACTCTGATAATTAAACGATAACAAAAAAACAACAGTGAACTTTCAACTAGAATCTTCAAATTAAAATAAAAATTGACAAAAACTTCTTCTAAGTCTTTCTCTAAAAGAAATTAATTATCTCAAAGAACAACCTAGCTTCTCAATGAGGGAAATGAGGTAAGAAAGTTTGAAAAAAATATCTTCATATCCTAGCAACTTTCAATATTTTCTCATTAACCATTAAAAAGTCAATAACCCATTGAGAGCTATTAGTAAAAAATTCTTGTTTTAGCTCATGGGTAATTATTCTCTATTTAATTACTCAACCTTACAGTGTTAAATGATTAATTTTATGCATTTTGAATCTATTTGAAATTCAAAGTTTGTTTTAAAATTTGAGAAATTAAATGGTAGATGGTATTTAGAAATAAAATATAAGTAGTTAATTAAATGGTAAAAGAATGGATGCTTAGAATAAACAACGATATTTAATAGATGATATGGTAATAATACTAAAAGATTTTTGTTAAGTATGTAACTTAAAATTGCTTGTAAATATTTTTTTGGGCCAGTATTTTCGTTTTCCTCCACTGGTTTTTATCCTTGGTTCAAAGATACAACAATGTAGACCTTTGTTTTAATTTGTCATTAGTTTCTAGTTGAGAGTTGACTGTTTTTTTCTTCTTGTCCTTTAATCGTTGCAGCCCAAGGGCCCTAATTTGCCTGGTGAATCCAAGTTTGTTAAGGAAACAACTCTCCTAAACCTTATAATGTGCAAAGACCACATGTTGTTTGTTAATTCCTACAATTTTACTATCATTTTCTGTTTTCACATCAACTTCCCCATCTAAGAGACTTGTCAAAGAAGGATATGATCTAAGAAAGTTTGAAAAAAAACACGCCGGCAGATCCTGCCGTCTATATCTTCCCATTGACCCTTGGTTTTTTAAATATATCAACCTTTTGATTTGTATAAAATACCTAGATCTAACCAAATAATATTAAAGTCAAAACCTAGATATGGAGATTATGAAATGAAGGCAATGTCAAACAAACAAAAAAAATTTCAGTGAATTTTACTTATTGCCGTGATTTTGTTGGGCAAAATAATTGCAGCATATACATTCAAATACCACCGATACATTCAAAAGACCCATGTTGAGAAATCTTGTTTTTGCTCATGGATTATTGCATTCCTTATATATACTTGAAAAATTTTGAATATATTCCCTATCATATGCATATATACCTATTTGAAATCAACTTAATTATTTCTTTTTAACAGAAGGAATGGATTTCAAAATGATTTTCTTAAACAGATGATTCAAGAGCTTAAACTATGGTTTTAAGGGTTGGTAAATGTTTGGTTTTGAAGTTAGAAATGGATGTAATTTGACCAGTTACTCTATAGCAAGTAAATTAATCAGAAACATAATGGCTAAGCTCATTCTCTCTGTGATGCAAAAGTAGTTAGGCATACAATTTCACCAGAGCAACTTCTAATTAAGGCATAGTTTTATAATCTTCTTCTTTTCTCTTTTACAGTTGTATGCCAAGTGCCAAAACAACAAGAGCTGCAGCTGAATTTCTCAAGTCATATGTGAAACCTCTAATGTATATATAAATTGATTGTTTGGTTCAAACTCAAAGATTTCATGGATGAATTAATTATATATGGCCTTAACGCGGAAGATTACTGCATTCAATTTCACTTTGAACTTTATTAATTTGTTGTTTAGTTCAATGAACTTTACTGTAATTTCATGGTCATATCTTGCTTTATTCTTGTTGAATTTGAATCAAATTCAAAGTTTGTAGTAACTGGAGAGAAGGAGAACGCCAGGCTGAGATTCAAAAGATTAATTACGCAAAAGAAAGGTTGCTTTGGCAATTGGGTGATCTACCAAAAAAAAATGAAAAATATTGCAAGAGCAGTTAGAGACTGCTGCAGTTTTTTGGAATTAATTATAAGAACATTGAACTTAGCTGAATTAACGATTCAAATGATGTCAATATTTCTGGAAATTGACAAAACTGCTGACTGATATGGTGAGGGAAGAAAATAAGATTAGAAGAAGGTTTAAGGATGAATACAATTAACAAGGAAGCTGCTCAGGATCATTTGTTGCCAGGAGAAAATATACTACTACATGGGGTGGGGTGGGGGGTCAAAGATCAAAATTGTAAAGTGATGATATTCCTTGATGTAACACTCAGGATATCACCTTGGACAGACGTAAGGTTTCTTGTTGACCAAAAAGAAGGCTGAGGCTTCTTAGTGACACGTGCTAGATAAAAATTAAACCAGATTTATCGTTCCGTTAAATTAAATTTTCATAATTACCTAACCCCGGTTTTAGGGTTCTTCAATGAGTGCTAATAGAATTATATATGAGCTGCCAGGTTACTTCCTGGTCTTTGCCTTGCCATGGGAAACTTGTAATATTATAATGCAAGAAAGAATGTTAATGACATCATTGGTTTGAATCACGTAAAGCATGCACCTATAAAACCATCCGCATGTCGTCTCCTCAGAATATCCAAATTAAACTCCTTTTGCTTTATCAACAATCACCATTTTTATCTCAATTTGATATCCGTTTCTTTCCCTGGCTAATTATAAGTTTCGTATCAGCCGCAATGGGTAGGTCTCCATGCTGCGCAGAGGATGCCAATCTGAAAAAGGGACCGTGGACCCCAGAAGAGGATCAGAAGCTGGTTGATTACATTAACAAACATGGCCACGGAAGTTGGAGGGCTCTTCCAAAGCTTGCAGGCTTAAACAGATGTGGTAAAAGTTGCAGACTAAGGTGGACTAATTATTTGAGGCCTGATATCAAGAGAGGAAAATTCACTGAAGAAGAAGAGAGAGTTATTATTAACCTTCATTCAGTTCTTGGAAACAAGTACAAATGTTTTCTTTTTCTCATGCTTAGCTTTCTTAAATGATTTCTTAGAAGAAGCATCTAACATCTTTGATTTTTTTACCTTCCTTTTGCAGGTGGTCTAGGATTGCTACTCATCTTCCTGGACGAACAGATAATGAAATCAAGAACTTTTGGAATACCCGCGTTAGGAAGAAGCTATTGAACATGGGAATTGACCCTCACACCCACAAACCAAGAACTGATCTTGATCATCTTTTAAATCTTTCCCAATTGCTTTGTGCCGCACAATTAGGCAACTTGATGAACCCTTGGGACACTGCTTTTAAACTACAGGCTGATGCCGCTCAACTGGCCAAAGCCCAACTATTGCAAAACCTAATGCAAATTTTGAACTCAAACAAACTAGCGAATGTTGAGAGTGCTAGTGGTTTGCTTGGATCCCAAAATCTTTATCCATTTGAAGGATTACTCAATGGTACAAGCACCCTATCTGCTAAAGAACTAACCCCAAGCCCAACACCTCAGAACCTTCCAAATAACCCTGGTGCAATCCCTCAAACATCAAGTGACCACCAGGCTGTAGAAAACCCATGGCCATATTTTCAAGGTGGATTTAACTATGAAAGTCTTGACATGAATAACCAGAGTTTGAGCAATTCCCTTGAACAAACTGAAAATCCACTTCCTGAGTTAGTTTCAGGATCTCCAGACACTTCACCAATTAACCAGATGGAAAACAAGACCGACACAGCACCAGACTCCACAATATATGAGGCTTGGGAGAAACTAATTATTGAAGACGAAGCAGATGGCTCCTACTGGAAAGAAATCCTAGAGTAGGTGTTCTCTTCCTGGATTCTTCATTCATTTTCATTTCTTTGTTGCTTTGTTAATAAGACATCCGTTTTGAATTATTTATTTCTTCCATAATTGTTTCAGATTAGTTAACATATATTTTTCTTCTTGTATTTGCAGCTTCACTTCATCATCCTCATCACCTATCTCATGGTAGAGCACCTTTCGGCAAGATATATATGATCAACTCGACTCAGAGAACAATATTTAATTCAGTATTCTTTCCATTTTATTTTAGGGTTTTTCATCTACTTTATTCATTGAGCTGTGTAAATTGTAAACACATCTTCAAAGCGCTTGAGTTTTTTTTTTTTTTTCAAACTTTATACAATCAATAATAAATTTAATTTGAGATATAGTAGTGTTCAATGTTTTGAATAATATTAATTATATATGAATTTCTATTAAATCTAAGCAAAATCCCAAGATGAAGGATGATGGAATTATATTTATATATATATGGGAGATTTTGCTTTTAATTCATGCAAGTTAATTATAAGGAAGAAACTGCAATGACCCATTTTCAAGAGGTAATTAAAACGACAGGTTGAGCATTGAGATTAATCTGCCTGTCTATGAATATGTATCCATAACTACAAAACTAAAGGGAAAGTTTTAGGAAGAAAATTTAGAAACCGAAAAATTATCCATAATTGCTCAAATACATACATACATACATACCTTATAGATTAAATTAAAAAAAAAAAAGTTACAACATTCATTAATATACTTACTTCAAATACTCACATAAAATATAAATTTTAGAAATTTTGTTATAACCCATAAGAGTTTTACGACTTTTTCTATGGTGTCTTCAACTGTTACATCAATATGATTACTAAATAAAGCAAAATGTTTAATGTAATAATTAGTATTAATAATTAACTTTTGGATGTTAGTATTTGTTTTGGTCAGTAAAAGTCAGAAGATTGGTTGAATTGTTGCCCTTTAGGTGAGATTGTTTCCGTCTGATATAAGCCATTGACTGTTGGAAGAACCATCACCTACCCAAACCACCTGTGACCTCACTGTCACCTTGTGGGCTATTTCTCCTTTTTTTTTTTGTTTTTCCTCTTATTTTCTTTTTTCCAATTTCTGGACAGCTAATTAAAAAAATCCCTTATTAATTTGTACCATTAAATGAATATGCTAATACTTTTTTCTTCTATTACAGAAAATTACTATCAAAACCTTATGGTATTAGTAAATTAAAGGATCTTCTTTTTTCACCAAAAAAAAAAATTTTAAGGATCGTTGTTAGGAAAATTTTTCTTCTAATCTTCAACTAAATAAGAGGATTGCCGATTCCTGAAATACTTCGAAGAACTCCATTTGAATGGAATTTCAAGAGAAAAATTCATTTTAATTAAAGAAATTCAAAAATGGAAAAAATATATATATAAATAATGAGGAATTTCAAAGTTTAAGAAATATTTCAAGAGGGAATTTGATTCTCTCTTGAAAATCCATCTAAGGAGATAGTTTTTCAAAATTATTTCAAATCTTTCCTCATTTTACTCCACAACGTCTACCAAAAAATACAAAAATAAAAAAACAAAGTATTATTTTATTTAACTCTAATATGTTTATCTATTAATAATATCTATACATTTTTACAAATATAATGATATTCATGTTGTATTTTATATATATATTTAATATCATTATTTTCTTTTATAATTTTTTTATCTCATCAAATTCAAAAAAGTTAATTTTTTTAAAAATATTTATTCAAATAAAACAATTATAAATGCTAGCACTTTGAGTTGATATAGTTTAAAATGTCTTCATTTCAAATTTTTTTAAAATTTTAAAATTTCTCATCTAAACGCTCTTTTAACTTTTGAAATTAAAACTCGAAAATAAAATAGTATAAACCTAGGAAAAAAGGTTATTTTTTGGGAAAAGATCCTCAAGTTTTCACTATTTTATTCAAGAACGAATAATTTATTTTTAATTAAATCTATAATTGAAATTTTAATAATTTTAAATTGAGTATAAATATAAATATAAATTAATTAAAAAGAAAAATAATTTGAATAAATATGAACTTTAGATTTAATTAAAAATGTATTATTTACAATTAGATAAAATAGTGAAATCTTTCACTAATTTTAAACAATCGAGAAATCCTTTCCTGCTAGAATTTACAAATGTTGTTGGTAAAATATAATAAAAGATAGTTAAGACTTGGGCTGCAATTAAACATGGTTGGATGACTATGCCTCAAGTAGAACCCAAACCAGTTCAATTGAGCCCAGTAGCCTTTTTTTTTTTTTTTTGTAAAATTAGCTTCCTAGTTTTAGTGTCCATACTTTCCATTAGGCCTGCTCCACTGGCTGTTTAATTGGGTCCATGTTTCCTATTTTGTGAAATTATAGCAGTACCACTGTCCAAAACAACATGCTTACGAACACAAGAAATGTTCCCATTAACATTCCCATTTCATCTACCTGTGAACGCATTCATCAAAACTGAAAATGTTAAAACCCCTAAACTAAGCACAAAGGATTTAAAACAACACAAACCAAGTGCATTTTCTATGCCTCTGAAACTAACCACAGAAACAAATGGAACGGGATAAAGAAAAATGAAAGAAACTTTAAAGCAGAAGTAAAATTCTCCATCACACTAGAAATATATGAACCAATTGATTGCCGATACATGCACATGGTGATTGACTATTTAGCTGAGGTAACCTTGGAATTTTCAATGGATTGCTAAAAGTAAACCAAACCAAATAAAAGCACAAAATTGATTGATCAGTAGAACAATTTACTTGTATCTAAAGCATATTATTACTATTAAACTCGGCAAAGATTAAAGCTACTAGCAAGCCACCATCATGGAAAAAAATTTACTAGCTGCACTTCCAACAAAGATCAGAGAAGCAATCAGTAGGCAATGACATGATTACAACTTACAAGCTACTGTAAAAGCATCGGCCAGACAATCAAATTCACATCAATCAAAGTAGAAGAGGTAAACAATGTAGCTAAAAGACACCTTGTTCTATTTCAATGTCCAGCAGCATAAATTTACTCAAGTTTTTGTAATGGTCCATGCTAATAGAAGATAGAAACAGAGTAGATTGATAGAAATGTTGCAACCAAAATGAGATAAGTTCATAAAATAAAGAGACGAACTCCGCTGACTGGAAAGAAGCAATATCGTGGACTCAACAAAACAAAACCCTTTTAAAGTTTCTTTTCAATATAATAAAATGGAATGACATGTAATGCTTGAGACAGAAACTTATTTGAATAGATAAGGAAAGACTCAGCGGTTAATTGTCAAAGGAAGCAAATGTGGAAAGGAAATAAACCCTTTAGAATGGGGCACTTATTTTTCCGTTTCACTGTATCTTTTGAAAACTTCAAGCCTTTAGTTAGGAAAGCATCGAGTCACTAAGTTAATTTACACAAATACAGGCATAACAGTATATTGCATTTTCCTTGTTCACAAGTAATAGGCCAAAATATCCAAGCCTTTTAGTTTGCAGACCATCAAAGATGAAGGGGGAGAAAATAAAAAACTGAGGATAAGATAACAAAAGAACACACCAAACTTCGTCTTTCATGTTGACTATGTTTCACTAACTAGTTCATTTGGTTCAAACAGTAGCATTTCAAAAACTCCCCAAAGACACGTTCAAAAACTTCTAGCATCTACATGAGACTAAAATTTTGGAACAAACACACACTTGGGCAATTCGTTTGCAGAGAGTAACACACAGAGAGCTGCTATTACTATTACATCATATATAAGGGTAGAATTACGTCATTATGAATGTTAATGCATGAGGGATTAAAATCTTTAACAAATATGCACAACAGTGAAGAAAAATATTCAGAGGAACTCAAAACAATTGAAATGGACTGCAGATATAAAACAACACAATTTGTCGCATCCATAAAAGGCACACAACACAACAGCCATAAAGGGCACACAATATAAATATAGAAACACAAAACCAGAGCAATTCTATATGAGGTCAAGCTTCCAGCGTACTTGTTGAAAAACAAAGCCACGCCACACAACAACAAGGTGTATATATCCATAGCCAACACTTGTTGCCGGAACCAACTCATTGAAACTATAACTGTAAAGCTTTGACCATGACCAATAACGGTGGAAGCATAAATTGTCAAAAAAAGGCATCAGGATTCAAAATAACTGCAAAGGGTTTGGAATCAAATAATGTCCAAATTTGTGGGATACGACAGCAGTAGAAGCTGTTGGAAATCATTATCAAACATGGTAAATGCCATAAAACCAGGACGATGAGGACAGGACAAATGAAAATATGGTTACATAAAACCAGTACGGTTTTGTACAAGGTTTACGTGTCAACAGATTTCAAGTTTCCCACATTCCTTTTTGAAATATCAGCCCATGCAACAAAGATATCTTATTCCATGTCAGCAACTGGATATCAGCACGTCACTTGGTATTCAGCTCAAAAAAAAAAAAAAATGCCAGCTCAAAAATAGTTTTCTTTCAATGGAAAAATTAAAAATAAAAGAACTTGATATTTTTCTTCCATTTAAAGCACTCACAGATTTCTTTAGCAACTTAGCATGCAAACTGGAAGTACTTACTAAAATTAACCTTTAAGGGTAAAAAAAGAGGGAAGCCTTGTTTAAAACAGATGATGTTTCCAACTTGCCATACTTGATATTCAACAACCACATTAATATACCGATAATCCACAAAACCTAAAAGTACCTGATATTCAACAACCACGTTAATATACCGATAATCCACAAAACCTAAAAGAGAATATGAACCATCTCCTGAAGCTAAATTTCAGAGTGCACCAAAACTTTTTCATTCTGTTTATTATTTATCCATTTTATACATCAAGTTAGCAATGTAGGCTTCTAAACTCGAAAAGAATTTACCATTGCATTTGTTCTTATAAACATTTTTGGCAGGATTTTGTTATTTCAAAGAACAAAACCAAAATGGAGCCATAGCAATAAATTCTTCAAACCTAAATTCGATCAAGCATTTAAAGAAGCACATCAACTTAATCAATGCACATAAGATGAAAGAAAATTTGAAATGAAACTATCATCTTAAAAAAAAAAGAAAAGAAAATTAAATTGAAACTATATGGAAATACCCACTGATTAAACTTGCGAAGGTGCAAAACTAAAACAATCACTAAGCAAAAAAAAATGCAATTAAAAACATCAAAGTACAACTTAAATTCCCTAAAACGTCAAAGTATTTTGAAAAATACCTATCTCCAGAGCACAGCGGACAGAATATACATGATTAACACTGAACACCATGTAATTGTTGTCAAGAGGCTACAACTAAACTCAGTACCCAACCTAGTTATTTCTCCACTGTACGAACTGACGTCTAAAAATGGAAAATGTGCAGTTGGCTTCGCCTTCACAAGCTAGCACCAGAGTCCCAATTCTTATACAGTTGCAGCAACCCTACAAAAACGACCAACCAAGAAAACGAACCAAGCTACACCTTTCTCATCAAATTCCCTAAAAATTTGGTCAAACTTGAATAGAGTTCTCGTTCTCTTCCCCATCACTACAGCAAGAATTGGTGACAATTTTCCTTACTTCTTCCTCACAACGAAACACCTGCCTTCCATCATTCCCTGCCACCTTCTCATGGCTACATTCCTCAACCAAATCCTTCTCCACCACCACCTCCCTTTCCTTCCTTTTCATTATATCACAAAAGAAATCAGTAAAAACTGTTTCATACCCTGGCATTTTTGCGTAACCCGGAAAATAGTTAATGTCAATAATGAGATAACGGTTTCCAAATCGGGTATCTCTTATCACATCAAAATTAAACAAATTCAAGTTCATTGCACTTCTCAAACCCTTGGCAATATCCGTCATGAAACTCTGTGGTGGCAATTCAGTATCCTCCAAATGCATCATCTTATAATACTTATCATCACTTTTCTCATGAGTAGCCAAATTGGAAACTTGAGAAAACGGTAGAGACCCTTCTAAACTATTCAATTTTTCCTCCGAAACATCTGGTAACGACTTCCTTTTAACACATTTCACATATTCCCCAACCACATAAACCTTAAAAATAACCCCTCCATGATTAACAAATTCCTGCAAAACAATCGGGGGTTTAAGCTTGTTCAACCCATCCTGGTTAAAAACCAAAGCCATTTTGTGCGATTTAGCACTTCCATCAGCTACCAACGGCTTAGCAATCACCGGAAACTTAAGCAAGTCCCAAGCTTGCTTATCAAATAGGGTTTCTTGATCGTAAATCACAATCTGTTTAGGGATCCCAAAGGTTTCGCTTTGATTCTCGATCTTGAGTTCCGACACCACCTGCAGCATTGAAATCCTGTTGTGTAGACGTTCGATTGCGTCAGGAGAATCAATGATTACAGCATTAGGGTTTTGAGAACGGAAATCTTCAAGCTGGCTCTTCCAATCGTCACCGTACAACTTGTGAAGCACGCAATCGAACGGTCCTTGATCGACTAAAGGACGTTCCCTATCGATCCTAACCAGATCGATTCCTCGAGATTTCACCAGATTCGCCAACGAATCTCGAATGAAACTGTTCTCTTTCTTCGGTAAAAGCCCGTAACCAATCTTGAATCTTCTCTCCTCTCCCGCCATTGCTCTCTTTATTTTTCTTCCTTTTCTTTTCTTTTTTCTCTCAATTGAATTAAAATCCCTTCTTCCACTTCTTTTTCTTTAACGTTTGATTGCTTGATTCATAAAACGAAACGTTCGCTTCTTCGCATTCCAGATTTTCAATGGAACCAAACAAAACGAAATTATGATTCATGAAAAGACTCAACTTTTTGGAATTTTCAAGGTGGGTTTTCTTTTTTAAAAAATTACAATTTCCGATTTTTTTTTCCTTTGGTCTTTTTCTAAGAACGTTGGAAAAATCGAAAAAAAAATTGCAGCGTTTGTGAAACGAAATGGTATAGCTTAAGAAAAGGATTGGGGAATGTATATATAGCTTTGAGTAGGGTTAGATAAGGAGAGGATGATAAAATAACCAGAATTAGTATAAAAGTAGAACACGTGGCATATTCTTTTAACTTACATGCGGATTCGCGCCGCACAATTAAAAGGATCGCCCGGGAGTGGTGGGCCGTGGCCCGTGGCGGTGCACCGAGAATGAACCGTGGTGATTGTGGTAAAAGTGACAGGTGAGTAATGATCAAAGTTTGATTGAAATGATGTGGACGAACTTGGGCTTAGATTTTTTTAAGGAAGGGAATATTAGGGTAAGGCTTCATTTAAATAAAAAATGTGAAATTTTAATTTAATTTTGAAGAAGCATGGCCTCAGATTTTTCAACGTTTAGATTTTCAAGCATATATATTTACGAATTGCCCTCCACTTTACATGGTTTTTATTCTGATGTGACTTGTTAACCTCTCTTTAATGCCACGTGGAAAATTCTTCCAATGAGTGTTGCACAAGTTTTAGAAATGACGTGGATAGCACGTGATTTTTTTATTTTACTTTTACATCACAAATTAACTTATTTTTAATAAAATTTTCATTATCATAAGCTTTAAAATTTTAATTTTAATAACCTTAATTTAAAAAACCTATTAATATTTTGGTCTTTATTTAATTACTTTGATTTAAAATATCGACAATCTTTAATTAATTGAAAGTTTTGTTATTTTCATTACTTTATATATGTTTGTTTTATTTGTCAATAATATAATCTGATGATAAAATATTATATTTTAAAATTTAATTATCAAAATAAAAAAATATATAATTTTTTTCTTGGTTTAAGTATTTAATTGTTTCTTGTTTCTTTTGGATAAACAAAAATAAAATTTTGTTGATCCAAAAAATTTGTTACTTAAATGATTACTTGAAGATGACAATTTGATTTTTTTAAATGATTAATTTGAAAATATATTTGTTAATAATGAAGATAAGTTAAAGAATATGAAAAAGCTTTTTTTTTTTTCAAAATTGCCATTATTAAGCAATTCAATTGATGAATTTAAATTAACAGAAAATTTGTACAAGTAGTTTGACAATTGAGCAATCTAACACTTTTAATCTTCCTTCTTTTTCAAGTAATTGACCTTTAGTCATAGCTGGGTGCTGAAGTTAAGGTTATAAAAAGGTCATATTTACGTATTTTTCGAAGATCATAATGTTTTTGTTGAGAAACTTTGGTCTTTGACTCTTGTTAGTCATAGACAGGGGGCTGAAGTTTTTATTTTCTCCACGATAAATATAACTCGAGATCTAGTTTAGGAGAATTTCATGTGTCACTGTCGCTAGACATATGGAAATAGGGAAATAAGGATGTAACTTTTATGAAAGTTACATATGTGCCATGAAGTATTCAAAACATGTTTTTATGATATGTTGGTAAAATATTAAAATTTTAATTTTAATAATTTTAAATATTAAAAAAAATTTATCAATGAAACCTTGATTTATTGATGAAGAAAAAGCTTTAAAATCTTAAAGTCTTTAAATTCAAATCTTTTTGTATATGAATTTAATCATTTAATTATGTTCTAATTTTTTAATCAATTATTTAATAATTGTTAAATTAATATAATAGTTAATTATTCAGTTTATTATACAAGGTAATTATTTTTTATATTTGAAATTATCAAAATTTAATTAAATCATTGAAATTAAAATTTTAATATTTTTTTGTAAGAAAAAAATTCAAAGTAGATAGGCTATTCAATCATTCAGGTCAGAGTAAGATGTGTCGTATCTAACAACTTAAGACAAATGATTAAAGGTCGTACATTCGAGATAACCCTAACAAGTGATTATCGATAAAATTCGAACTCAAGATTTTTTTATCGAAAAAATAAACTTAATCTATTGAACTAATAATTTATTTATAATTTAATATTTATAATAGATTATGAAACTGTTGATATATGAACATAATATTTTATTATGATAATTAAAAAATATAAAAAATTACAATAAATCGGTCACTGCTACTTCAAATTATAAAAAAAATTAATCAAGGGCCTTCGAGAGTCACAAACGCAGAAAGACCCAACGAGGAGTTGGACTTTATACGTGGCCTTGGAAAGTGTAGCCCAACAGGGAGGCTGGATTTTGTATCTGGATGTTCGTGTTCTTTTGTTGAAAGCTACTAAGCCCCATTTGTTGAATCACTTTTTTGGGCCATGATCCATACTGGTAGTATTTGCTCTTTTATTTAAATATATTTTCTATATTTTACTAAAATAGGTTTGAAAACCATTTTGATTTTTGACACGATCCAACTAAGAGTTCTTCCTCTTCCTCAGCTTCCTCTAAAACCTCAAATCCTAATTTCTTATCCAAAACATCTTCATTAATAATATGCATATTGTTATTTTAATTCATTTTTTATGTATAATTGGTAAGGTATTTATAATTCGATTTTAATTAAATTAATTGATCAAATTAATTTAATTTAGTTCATCAATAATTATCAAATTAATTTTATTTATTTAACAAAAATAATTTTAAAATAATAACGATTTTTTATTAATTCAATTTAAAAATCGATTTAATTAAAATTTTAATTGAAATATAATAAAATCTTAACATAAAATGAAAAAAATGAAATGTACAATTTTATTTCATAAATTGCTAGAGATTTAATATAATACATTGGTATTTGAACATTTTGTTGCATAATTATATTTGGTTTGTTTGTAATATAAAATATTAAGAGTTTAAAATATAATTTAATTTAAATATATTTATTATTCATTAATAATAAAATTAATCAAACTCGTTAATTTTTAAAGTTAATAAATTTGATTTTATTAATAAAAATAAAATAATTTATTTTAAAATTAATCAAATTAACTAACTGAATGAATACTTTTAATAATTAGATAAATCTTGATATTTGAATTTTAAATTTGAACGTAACCCGTCAAAGAATAATTAATTAAAATACATATTACATGTGTGGAGGTTCGAGACTCCAAATTTGCGTTGAAATTATGGAATGCCATTTTCAAAATAAATGGGCAAGAATGGTAAATTATAGTAATAATTGAAGAAGCAAGTGTTGCAGTAGGGACCATGAAAAGGGAGGCAGTGACCATGTCAATTTGCAGAGGACTGCTACGATGCTTCTCAATTCCTTATTGTTCGATAAAGACATTACCTATTTGTTATGGGCCTTTTGGCCATGGCTGAAGGTAATTTGAAATCCCAATTCTCATTCCGTTTGCCTATCATTTAATTGGTGGATTGGATTTTTCTGAAGAATTTAATTCCATTTAATTTAATTGTCACAGGGAGAGAAAAAAACAAAATAAAGTTTAAATAAATTGGTGGATTGGAGTGCTCAAAGACTAAAAGGTCCCCCACCGGCTCTCCCCACTAACTACAAGAGGACAGAAGAAAAGGACAAATAGGGGCAGTTTAGGGATTCAGAAAAAACGAAACTAAAAGGTGGGGGTGGGGGTTGGGCAGATGGCATCCATGGAGCAACATAGGGGTAGAGCACATGCGTCAATGCCTTTGTTTGGTTGACCCAAGCCAATGATTGTCTCCCTCTGTTTGAGCCGTTTCAATCTATTTCACGCGCTTATCATGGCCTACGTCCCACAATCTCTGCATTTTCTTACCATTTTCCTTTTATAAAATATAGCAAGAAGAAAATTTTCATTTGCTCGTAAGTTAAATATTTGAATATTTGTGTATTTATATTATATAAAATATTAATATTTTATATAAAAATTATTTTAATTTATATCAACAAAAATTTATAAACTCTATATTTTATTTTATTAAGTTTATATATAATTTTTATTAAAATTTCAAATATATCATTTTTTAAAATTTTTATATAATTTGTATATCGTGTTATTTTATTTTAGATTATTAGATTCTCTTGTTAAAACTTTTATCAGTTATCCTTCCATATTTAATTTTATCTCAAATTTAATTTCTAACTCCTTTTTTTAATTGCACACATCAATTTGAAATTTTGAATATCACTTTTTTTTTAAATTTCCTATTATCAATCTAATTTATTTTCTTGATTTTTATAATTTTTATTAGCTTGTTGAAGACCATTAAATTTTATTAAAAGTTCAAAAATTAAATCCAATAATAAAAGTAATTTCATATGGTATAACATAACTTCTCTTATAAAGGTTAAAAATGATTACATACTTCCAATAACAATGCCTTTCGTATGAGGAGGATAGCTAATAAAAAAATATAAAGGGTGAAAAATATGTCAAACTAATATGTTTACATTTGCTTTGTTATTTATTTTAAGAAAAAATATTGACAAAAATTTTTAATATAATTTTATTTCCTTTATTTTTTATATTAGAGAAACAAGAATACAAGAAAAGAGATTATTGGATATAGAAAAATTATTTTATCCACTTTAAATAAAATCTTTTAGATTTTTTAAGTAGGATTGATGGTATGATAGATTTTTTAAAATATATTAAAAAAAAATTTAATTAAAAAATAAAATATATGTCAATCTATCCATTTTGTTTATAAAATTAAAAAATGTACTAATGTATAAAAATAAAATCTTGAAAATAGAAGAATAGATATGAAAAAGACAAAATAGTTTTAAAATGAAAAAATAGTAATTGTCTAATTGATAAAAGAAATAGAAATAAATAAACATCAATTAGTAGATTGACGTGTTAGTCAAAACAAGAAAAACGCGTGGTGAATAGAAAAATTAATATAGTGATAAAGTACAGTTTTATTAATCAATGTCAAAGATGGAAAAAAAAAGCTTATTGTACAAATATTTAAAATTACAAGAAAAATACGAAACGACAACAACGTTTTTTTCTTTATATAAAATTACAAGTAAAACGACAACAATAAAATTAAAAAAAAAAGTGTAATCGTGTTTTGAATGGATATAATATTAAATTTAAATTTGATTTTAAATTTATATTAAAATTTTAATTTAAATTAAATTAAAATTTATTTTTTTAATTGAAATTTAATTAAATATAAAAATTAAATTATTCGAATTTATTCGATTAAATTTGATTAATATATAAAAATAAATTTAATTTTTATATTAATAAAAATTTTATTATTTGTGTTTAAGATTAAATTTAAATTTAAAATATTTATCAATTAAAAATAATATTAAAATATAAAAATTTTATTAAATTTATAACTTAAATCAAATATAAAATATTTAAATTTGATTTAATCAATAACTCAAATTATTTAAATTTAAATTTAATTAAATAATAATCAATTTAAATTTAAATTTTATTTAAATTAAATATAAATAATTTACTGAATATTAATATATTATTCACTAAAGGACGACGGACGACGTTTTTCAGTCTTACGGAAAAAAGAAATAATATATTTTCATTTTACTTGTGCGCGTGTTTTTTTTTTTTTTTTCTTTCTTTTTACGTTTGGGATTTAAAGCTCTTAACCGGGAATATCCTTTCTCTCTGTCTTCTCTCTCAGACACTTTGAGATAAAGAAGAAACAAAGAGAGAGGGATAGGGCGACGAAGGGAAAGAAGAAGAAGTGTTCCAAAAGGCAATTTATCTTCTCTCCCTCTTTAGAAATTTGTTCTCTTTCTTTTCTTTCTGGTTTTTGAAGGAGAAAGGGCTCAAAGAAAGATCAAAGAAGAGAAGAGAAAAGAGAGAGGGTAGGGAATTTGAAACCAAGAAGGAGAAATGGAAGGGAGAGAAGAGGTAAACGGATCCAAACCCAGTTTTCCTTTGAGCTTTTGGGAGGTGACAGTGGCTTCAATGGTGGTGATGGGGTTTGTTTTGGGGCTTATCGGCGTTTATTTAACCATGCCCGCATCTGATTATAGCTTCCTTAAATTGCCCAGGAGCCTTGAAGATCTTCAAATCCTCAGGTTTGTTAATTTGGGAAAAAGATTATCGCTTTCTTTTTATTGTTACCGTGTTTTGTTGGTGATTGAAAATGTACAACAAAAAAGCTGTCTTTTTGGATTGTTTTGGTGTCTACGCGTTATTTGAGATTGAATGCAATCCGCTGAGTCAATTTTGATTTATCTTTTATCTTTTTTTCCTGTATGTTTTATTTTCTTTGCAATCTAACAAGCTGTGGGATCCGCCTTGTTTCAAGCCAATGGAGCTGTTTTTGTAATGATGAATTTGGGTCAAAAAATGAATGGATTCTTCGGTGGAAATGAAAAAAATGGTGTAATTTTGAACCAGATGCATTGTATTTCAGCTCATGAAGATCAATGAGTTTCTGTTCAAGTTTTTTTTTTTTTCTCAAAAAAAGACGAGCTATGAGATCTAAAGAAGCTAAGAGGTGGATAAGGCTGGCTGGAAATGGATTATTCTGCAAGGATAGCAGAGAAGGATAAATTAGTGAATAAATATGTATATACAAGGCATGCTTGAGATATTGAAAAATGATTGTGTTTTGTTTCACAGACAAGAATTATTCAGAATAGAACTTTTGTGGTCAAGTCCGTAGTTACTTGGAAGGCCCTAGAATAGTGTGGGGAATATTTATTGACTAGTGCTAATAGAATCTGATTTAATGTTGCTTTTCCTGCGCTTAAGATGCCTGTATTTAGTGATTCTGATTAAGTTTGATGTGATTCATGTGATGATGACTTATATGTAGTACTTCTATTTTCCTCTTCCGTTTATTTCTTAAAAAGTTCCTGATGTTACTCTCACATGTTATATTCTCAATTGGTAAAAAATAGCACTTGATTTAAAGAGATATATGACTAAATAGCATGCATTGATCCTCGTTGCTTTCTGGGTTCAAAATCAAAGAATATTTCTTATGGTTCTTTGGCTTGATATTCTGTATTATCTCTTCTTTGAGGTGTCTTTTGTGTTCCTTTGCTATATGTTGATTGTTTTTTGTACAATGTATCATGTAGAGATCACCTTGAAACCTACACAAGTGACTACACTGTACAAGTCTTGGTAGGGTATTGTGTAGTCTATATTTTCATGCAAACCTTCATGATTCCGGGAACTGTTTTCATGTCATTGCTTGCTGGAGCACTGTTTGGAGTCTTCAAAGGTGTAGCTCTTGTTGTGTTCACTGCCACTGCTGGTGCTTCTTCTTGCTATTTCCTGTCTAAAGTGATTGGGCGTCCCCTTGTCTTTTCCCTTTGTCCTGACAAGCTGAGCTTCTTCCAAGCCCAGGTGATTTTCAATTCCTTATTGAAGCCATCTTTGCTTACATTGAGCTACAACGTGGAATAAGTTTTAACTTCATGCTTGCAGGTAGCTCAAAGAAGGGAGCGACTGTTGAACTATATGCTTTTCTTAAGGCTTACTCCGACTTTACCAAATACATTCATTAATGTTGCTTCACCAATTGTCGATGTCCCTTACCATATTTTCTTCCTGGCAACTTTTATTGGGCTCATTCCTGCTGCTTACATAACTGTCAGGGTATTTTTCTTTAGACTTCCATGCAGAAGTTGCATGTTAAGCTAGCCTATTCTCTCTTACATTGATATGGTAGTGAAAACCACTTAAATGCATGTTCTCTGCTTCTTCTGCAGGCTGGAATAGCTCTCGGAGAGTTACAATCGGTAGGGGATCTTTATGACTTCAACTCAATTGCCACTCTTTTCCTTATAGGGGTTGTCTCTGTCACACCTACACTTATGAGCAAGACCAAAGCATAGCAACTGATTGGCTGAGCATGCTTGTACATGGGGCTTCAATCTTCGGGTAGCCATTTGGGCTGCCACAACCTTCTGTACAGACTAGCATCAAATAAATGCAATGTGCTGCTGCTCTTTATTTGCTTAATGGAATTCACGCTGGTTCTACTGATATTGAAGATGGTGATCTGAGAAGGTGTCAGTCATAAAATTCTTTGCCATGCATTGTATTTGCTTTAACCAGTCTCAGGTTGAGTCTGTATCAGGAGAGGAACATGAGAAAAGTTGGGGGAAGGCTGTTATTTGTTGCAATTTCAATTTTATTGGCAAGAATAGTCTTCAGAAGCTGTATATCCTTTTTAGAAGTATATTTTATGCCAAAGAACATCTTCTTTCTCAGTGTTAGTGTTTGTTGTTTCCTGCGGTATTAAATTTTACAACTCATTTGTGCCAACAAAAAAAAAAGGGAACATCCCTCAATGTAATGCCTTGAAGGTCAATGGCAAGGTTCCCTTGCTTTGTGAACAAGATACTGATAGTTATTTCAATCTGTTATCTGTTTAATGTCCATAGCTTTGAAGCTAAGAAAATTTTAGAGACACGAGTTTCATTTCACACGCAATTTGCAAATCTTTGGAAGCAGATTTAACTAACACGTCATCACCTTAAGAAACAATATATTTTAAGTTACAAATAATTCCTGCTTACTAATTTTGTCTAAGGATTTGCATTGAGGAAAAGACTTCAAAGAAAAGACTTTAAGAATATGCCTTTAAGCAGCCTGTTAATATTCTTCAATGCATCATTGGTAAATCTCCATTGTGAAATCTCTCGCATTTTCTTTTCATTACCGTAAATTTCAGCAAATGGACAGATTCTCCATTAATTCGCTTGAGGAGAATCATATAATCAAAATAAATATTTATAGACTTGCTTTTAGCACTTTCTGGGTTTCTCCATTTTATTTTCAGTCTTTTGTTATTCAAAGCAATAGAAAAAACAGGAAAAAGCATTAACACGATGTAAGAATAAAACAAGTAACAATCCTTGCTAGAATGCCTGGCTGATTAACAAACACTTTGTTATAGGGGTGCAGATATTTTGAAACTTCTCAGTACTAGTACAATAATTCTATCGGGTTGGACCTTTTTATCAAGTATGATACAAAGTCTTTCTTCTGTTCCTACCTAAATCTTTTGGCTTTCTTCTTCTGATGGGCGCTCCCAGGACTCAAGCTGTCCAGCTTGCGTTTTACACCTCCTTGTTTTGAAACACCAGCATCCTTGTGTGCTTTTGCCTTGGCCTTTCTAGCGGCAACAGCTGGTCTTTTGGTCGTGCGCTCTTTTGGCTTCTCACTTTTTTGAGCATTAACTTTCATTTTTAAAGGGCCACTAGTGCCCTTTGAATGAACTTTCTTCTCGACACCTGATTTGCTAGCACGCAAGCCCTGGTATGACAAAGAAGCTTTTGCGTTTGTTCTGTTGCCATTAGTTGAAGGAGTAATTGAATCCAATGCCAACTTCTTGGCTGGGGTACCATTTGTCCCAGAAGATGACGGATTCTTTCTCTTAGATGGGGTGGCATCAGGTCTGGCATGAGAAAGCCTAAGCTCTCTATCCCTAAGCTTCAGTATTCGTTTTCTTACAACCACATTTGCCGCTTCCTGGATCAAGAATGCATATCGGTAACTTGTAAAGATAACCTATGATGCTAACACAACACTTAAAACTTGCCAATCTAGAGAGGCCCCCTCCCCCTCTTTTCTCTTTCTTCTTCCCTCACCAAAGAAAAAAGAGAAATTTAGATCAGACTTTAAGGAGATCAGGCTTACAGTTCAATATTGTCAATTAATCAACTTTTTCAGAAGGGCAAACTATACAAGCCCCATAGATAGATAGTGGCCCAAGACAACAGCAACTAGGTCTCATGACAAAAGAGTAGCGATCAACCCAACAGAATTTTGAGATTAGAAATAAAAAAGTTTAATATTTCAATTAATAAATCAAGGCCGGAAAAAAAAAAAAAAGAAAAGAAAAGAGTAAACATACCCTTGTTTTGAACAAGACATAAGCAATACCCTTGCCAACACCAAATTGAGGATCTCTAACAACCCGAACAGCTTCAATGCTGGACTCCAGATTATTGATACCACAAAATAGCTGATAAATTTCTTCATCCTGCAATAAGTAGTAACCTTATATTCAGATCACAGTAACATCGGCAGGAAACAATAAATGCATCCTGGAATCAAGATACAAATATCAGGCAAAAGTGATCACCTTCACATCAAATGGGAGATTACCAACAAAAACAGTCCTCTTGTTATCGTATAGAAGAGCATTCTCCCCTTTCAACTTTTTCCTTGGTGGGCATGCCCTATCAACACGAATATGATTTCCTGCGACCTATATTCATGTATGCGACCATACAATCAATATATAATATCTTCAACTTAAGCATTACAATTGCTCTGCCAACACTAAGCAAAAAAACATACCACAGCCATGTTATGGGCCAAAGATGCCTCAGCAGATTGCTCTGTTTTGAAAACAATGTATGCATGAACACTGCAAAAAAGTAACATTACTGATCACCAATATATGGAATATGGAGTTGATCTCACAAACGGAGATGAGAGGGGAGGGGGTATTAAAAAGTTTTTACATAAACATAAACAACAGTTTCAACATAGACATACTAAGTAGATGATGAAGAAAAACAATCAGATCTAACAGGAAAAAAGCATTCAGCATTAAGCTACTAGATATTTACTAAGTTTAAATACGAATATAGTTTTTAACAGAATTGTTCCATTACTTCATATTTCCTTGGAGACCAATGAAAAATTATTAAGGTTTTGAATCAAACAACATGAAAATCAACGTTTACCATATAATTAGCAATCCTAAGGTGTAATGAAGCACAAATAGCAACCAATTTACAATCAGGAAAACTAAAACCAATTCATTTAAAAAAAGGTGATCTTTCACAAGGTTCAACAGCATACCTATCAGCTTTCTCATTAATTTGCTTCAACATTATAGCTCCTTTTCGCGGTTTCTTAGTCTAAACAGGGAAAACAGCAATTAGAAACATCATTAACCAAAAATTTCATGAAACCAAAAGAGTAGAAAGAATCACAGATAACTCACGTCATTGAGAGGAACAGATCGAATTCTGACAGACTCAATCTCTCCAAACGTACTAAACTCCTTTATCAACACTTTCTTCTTCACTTTAATTGGCAAATTTCCCACAAAAACAGTCCTCAGAAGTTTACTCTCATCATCAAACCCTTCTTTTGGAACGAAAGTAACCACCCCATCATCCTCTGCCTTCTTCCTCTTCTGCCCAACAACTACCTCCTCCTCCGCTGCCACCGCCACTGCCACCGAACCATATTTCTTTTCCTCATATTCCTTTTCCACCTCATCCCTCTTCCTCTTCTTCCGTTTCACATCTTGCCCTGTTAAGATTTTTGCGTCAAAATCTGAACTTTCAACATTGCCTGATAAAGAACCCATATTTGGGTTTTCTAGGGTCTTCACTGTCTTCTCTTTGTGACTCTCTGTTGCTTCTTCAATTGAACCCAAGCTAGGGTTTTGACTTTTCTCGTTATCCTTTCGCTTCCTCTGCTTTAATTCAACAGTATCTGAACCCAACGAATCAACTTTTTCAGGGCTTTCAACGGATTCTAGGGTTTTTCTTTTGAAGGGATTGCTATCAGAGAAAAGGGAAGAAACGGCGGGATTTGACTCCGAAACGTCGCCGAAGATGGTTTTGAAGATATTATCAGATTGAGATGAAACGGTGTCACCTCCAACCGGCGTTTCTGGTTCTTTCGATTTCTTCTTTCTCATTATTGGGATGAGGAGAGGAAGCCTGAGATTGAACTGAAAACCCTAGAAGGACAATAATGGCAAATGGATCTTCTAGGTTGAGGTTAAAACCAACAAGGTTTCCAGTCCATGAATAAATAGCTCGAACATGGTCTTACACAACTTGGTTCATTGTTAAACAAAAGCATGGGCCTTGCAAAATGAACCTAAAAGCCTTTTTATAAGCCATAGCCGGGTCAAGAGACCCATAAAAGTTTCCTGTATATGTACAGCCAAGAGAAAGAGAAGGCGCCCAAAGAAGGTTTTCCAAGGGCAGACTTGGGACAACGATCGATGTACATGGTATATAAATTTGATAAAGGACCAATACTTTAACACTTTAACACTTTGTATGCTTTCACCAACATTAATCTTACTCACACGCCACAAAAACAGTCACCACGTCCCATTGCCATGCTGCAAATGAGTCGTGCCAAGTTCCCTTTCGGCATGGGATTCGTTGCTTTAGGGTCTAAACTTTATTGCATTGGTGGTCTATTTCAAAGGTGAAAGCATAAAAAATATGGGTCGAAGAAAGTGTATGTTGTTGATCTTAATGCCATTGAAACATGTTCCGAGGACAACAGATCTCCTTTTGTTGAAGTTTATGAGATGCATGAAGGTAAGTGCCATCCTTACGTGTTTGCAATGCATGAAAAAATTTATGTTTTGGATGTCGAAACATTGATGGCAATACAGAGGTTCCAGCTCAGGGAGAAATCAATTTTGAAGTTTTTAATCCCAAGGTGGGTGAATGGACTATTTTGCCTAAATATGATTATGGTGATTTCATTGGTTCGTTTATTGCCGGGCATGCCATTGTAGGTGATAGGTCTTTTTCTGGTATCAGTCTGAATGTGCTGCTTTTAGATTCTCCTCCTTCGACGTTAAAAATCGAGAATGGTTTGGAAGGAGAACATATTACATTTATCGGGAAGATATGGAGGATAAAGTGACTACGGATTATATTTCTACTTGGAATGACAGATTTAAGAAACATAACATCATTGGAAGCAGCATCGTAGTAAATGACACCTTATATGCCCTAAAGGACACTGGATGCATTAGCACTTATCATATCACTAACAATGAAGGTAATAGATACAGTAGGGGGAATTGAGATTGAATTTCCGAAAAAAGAAGTAGAATGTGGTGGTGGGTACTGTAAAATTATGTATATTCAAGAGGCAAACTTGGTCCATTTTGGGGATGAGAAATTTTGTCTTGTTACTTGTGTTACCCGTAGCAAGGACGACCAAATAGTCAAGAAGGAAGTTGTTGTCTTAACATTTCAGACTGTTAAACAGAATAGTACCCAAGGTGATTAATGTTTCAGGTGGGCTGAGATATATGATTTTCGGGCTGTTGAAGGCATTGATGGACGTCTGGGGATGGTCTCTACAGCTTTGTAGCTTAAAGCTTCTTTTTATTTTCTTTTATTCTGTTATTATGAAATCCTTATTATTTGCCTAGTCCTAAAGAATTTTATCAATAAAGCTCTCTTATGTTTGCCTAATGAGTGTAAATTTTCAACATGAAAATATTTCATCTCCATTTACCCTGGTAAGAAGAAATGTCAAAAGAGTAAGGGTGGTCATGCCAGTAGTCAACAACTCTATTTCCGAATAGGTTCTTGAAGTCAAATCATGACATTTGCCTTTACAAAAGAGACCTGTTTTCTAGCCCATTCAGCTTGGTTCATTGGGCCTTACAAATAAACCTAAAAGCCTTTTATAAGCTATGACCAAGTCAAGTCGCCACAAAATGAAGCATCACGATGGTATGATTTTTTGCGAGGCAGAATTGGTCCATTTCGGGGATGAGAAATTTTGTCTTGTTACCGGTGCTACCTATGAAAGGGACTATGAAATAGTCAAAAAGGAAATTTTCTTAGCATTTCAGGCTGTAATAATGAAATCCTTGTTATTTGCCTATCCTAAAAAAAATTATTTTCTTGTATGTAACCCTCCAAAAACAGGGTATATAACTCAAAGTAAATCCCTCTTATGTTTGCCTAATGAGTAAATTCAACATGATACACTTCTGTCATATTAGGATAAAATAAACCAAACTGCTGTTCTGTCCCAGGAGGCTTTAGATTCTCATTAAAAATGGCAAAAACATAAGTCTCTATGCTCCTCCCAGGCCTCTTTGGTGTACCAGATGCTCCATTCACATGAGCAATTAGCTTGTTATTGTACATCTGAGCGTTCGCTATTGTTGCAATATCACCATTTTCTTTGGAAGGCCATCCACTCTCTGATACAACAATAACAATAGAATCACCACCCGCTTTCTCTAATGCTGAGTAAACTGCATCAATTATAGCATCAAAGAGATTCATGTATCCAAGCTGTCCATCTTTCACAACTACTTCGCTGCAATTAAACATTGCATAGTCCAAGGAAATGTCTTGTTGATCATTTATATATGCAAAATAAGGATACACATTGACAAGGAAAGGGCTCTTAGTTGCTGCGAGGAATTCTATGATAGGTTTCATTATAGTACTCGCCTCGTTTGAAAATTCCCCATGAGATGGAGGGTATGAATTGCCAAGAACAGCAGTTGAAACTGTTGTACTTACTGGGATTTCCCCTAGATTTGCTTCTACTAATGCTGCTTTTAGATTTCTCATTGCTGGCAACACATGAACAGCAAAGTCACTAGGGATAGCTTCATTACCAGCTGAAATGCATCGAAACATAACAGCTTCTGAATATGGAATTACATTGTCTTGAACCCAACTTCTGGCAAAAGATAGGTCACTTCCAAGGTTTTGAAGGTCCTGATTTAGTGTTCCAAGGATGACATCAATTCCAGACCCTTCAAGTGCTTGAAGGGCATCGTGATTGGGATCAAAAAGGCGAACTCTTGTAATTTCCCTGGATTTCAAGAGAGCAATGACCTCACTTGGTAGTGGAAGGTTGTTCCCTAGCATACCATAATTCACTCCAACTAATCCAGCTCCTGCAAATGTAAATAAATTTCGGTGAATACCAAATATGAATATGCTATATATATATATATATATATATATCACTTTAAGTTAAAACGTAAAGCTCAATAGAAAAAATACCAACACAGATATTAAATAAGATTAGACAAAGGGCAGCTGTAAAACAGAGAAGCTGATTCATTGAAGCTTGTTTCCAACATTCCTTCACTAAACTCAAAAGGACGAATGGGAAAAGATTGATGATCTTGCGCTATACCTTATTCAACAAAGATGGATGATTGCTTTATAAATAAATTATAATTCATTGAAATTAACTTTCAGATGATCTATATCGATGATGACTAAGTAATTTCTTTGCAAATTTTGTCTTCAGTGTACATGGACAAAGATAATTCCTTTCTCAAAGAAGAGAAACTGGCCGTTTCCTATGTCGTAACTTGAGAGTTTTCATCTATCTTAATATTTATTAAAGAGTAAAACTTAGAATAACATCAATTCTTCTGAATGAATGGTTGGATTGTGCTTTTGGTTTTTACAGTTTTCAGGGCATTTAATTGTATCTTATCTGTGAGAGAAGGATTTCCATGGCAAGGAAAAGCTTTCGGCCTTGGCTGTCAATGCCTCAATGGCAGAGGAAGAAAACATGATTGTACTATAGTGCCACGTCTTTTCCTGGAATAAACTGAAGCATCTATATTATGTGACAAAATATATCCCTCCGCCCCCCACTCTCCACTTTTTATTTTATTTTATTTATCAAATGAAGTCATGCTGACATACAAGTAAAATTGAATCCATGATTTGTTCCCTCCCTCCCATTTGGCCGAGGAGAAGATGTCTAGCTGCTTATAACGACCAAGGAGGAATTTATTTTGGAGAAGCAATTGCCATTTGCCGGCCTTCAGCAATCACCTGGAGCATATATGTTCCACTACTCGCATCCTTGTCTGACTTGCCGCCACTTTTTCTGATTCTGGAATCATTGATTATTAAATTGTGTGACTTGGTCAATGTTCAGTTGTCAATGCTGTGATTACTAGCTGACTGGAACCAGCAGCAACTAGTATTTAGTCTAAACTTAAGTGAAAAGCTTTGTAACCTTAAGTTGGGGAAGAAAGGGAAAATAGCAAGGGATTGTACCTCAGGTTGATTATCTTCCTAACTTCTCCATGTCATATTCTTCTAGTACTACAAGTCATCTTGTTCAGCTTTTGTTACATTAGTCCTAAAAAATGACACCAATTATGATTTTCTGATTGACAGAGTTGTTACAGGGAATTTGCATTACCATGCTTTAAATTTTGTTGTCATGTTGATCAGAGTCCATCTTATAAGCCTGTTGATGCTAATTTATCTCTGAATTCTTTTGCTGCTCTATCGGGATGATGCATTTATATTAGCAAATGGAACCTTATTTCATCTTTTTGATTACTGCTGCATAATCTTCTACAAGGATGCTAATATGAACATCAGCCAATAGATAGCATTCATTTTAGTTTATCAAAACTAGGCAGAAAACGAGTACATGTTTTTCTAACATGAAAAACCTTGATTGCTTGCCCTTTCAGAACCAATTCTCATTCTGTTGTTTCTTTATTCTTTGTGAAATCCTCCTCAGATATGCAAGAGAAAAAAGAACAGGCTCAGCCGATGACAAGAGAAAATCCCTCAAAGGAAGCACAATCCATCCAAGAAGATAAATCCTTACAGCCTATGAAAGAGAGAAGAAATAACTGATGCTAATGATGAAGACAAGCAAGAGGAGAGAGTTATTCCTATGCTTGAAGAAAACCAGTTACTAGATGACATAAAAGAAGAGAAAGATAGAAATGGAGAAGATAGCATTGTTGAGAACCAAGTACTGAAAGCTGAAAAGGTTGGAGAAAGCCAAATTGGTTTGGCAAAGAAACCAAAACAATGTTCAAAACAAAGTCAGAAGGCAAAACCTACAATTCCTCAGCCATTTTCTTTGTCAATTGAAAAAAGAATGTTCAAGGAAAAACGAGGGTCAATTGATTTTTCTTCAGAAAACATGAAAACGAAGACTAAAGAAAGGCATGGTTCAATGGATTTCAAAAACTCATACTCACAACCTAGATTATCACGATCTGTTAGTTTAAGCCTCAAGTAAGTTCCATAGATTGCACTAAAACTTGCATATTTGGCCAACGGTTTTAACCGCATACATAATAAACCCTATATTGAATTGTTAGCTTTGAATTCTAACTTCAGATTCCAAAGTCACAGGGATCAGTCCTCACCCAATGCCAGAGAGATCTCTAACTTAAAGCGCGCAAAATCTGTTCGTAGCACTTCTAAAGCAAGTTCCAGGGCTCAAGTTATAGCAGCTGAGAATATTGACAATAAAATTGGGGTAAGATCTAACAAAAATTAATATTAAGATAATGAAAGTAGCTTCATAAGGAAGTGAATGATTGAATCTTGAAAACATCTTGTTTTGCAAGTTATTTACATCATATTTTATCCTTAAACTGTATGTTCCATTCTCATTATATTCAAGGCATTAGATGTTATTATCAATTTATACGTAGGTTTTGTATGGTATATACATTTGGATATTATTCTGAAACTTAGAGAGCATTTTCTATGATCTTTTCCTTTTAATTACTGGGTTTCTACTCACAAAAGATAATTAAACTAATTTAGCAGAATGCTCAAAAGACGATGGATAAGAATCTGCTTAAGGGGGCTGAAAGCAAGCAAGTAAAGGGAAATGACAAGGTAAAGTACAGAGGAATTTGAGCCTAAAACTTGCAAGTGATGAATACAAGTTTCAGAAGATTATCATTATCATGTGTAACATGCATCTGTGTATGCAGAAGAAGCGAGCAGAGGAAATGGAAAATAGTAATCTGCAAAAGGGTTCCACGTTTAAAGCATTGCCATTACCAAAGTCCTATCAGAAGAAGGATTCTCCTTCAAAATCAGAGTCTAAGAAAGTAAGTTATCAAACTATTTCTAAAACTAATGCAGAGATTTCACAAAACTTTGAACAATTTAGAAGCCTGACGCATATCTAACATTGAGCTTGTAATTCACAGATGCCAGAAATAAATTCAAAGTCTACTTTGCTTGGCCAACAAAATTGTATCAGATCTATAACTAAAGCTGAAAACAACAAGATAGAAGACAAGGGCAAAGGACCATCCAAGACGGTAACTAACGGGGCTAAGAAGACCATATCCAAACTTCTGAGAAGTACAAGAAAAATTTTGAAAACTTCAAAAGTGACAACCAAGGGTATTGTTTCAAGTGTCTGAAAACAGGATTGTGGCAGGAAATGGCAGGCAGCATTTATCAACTATTATGCTTTTGCACATGAAGAGTTTTCTTTGATATGAAAGTAGACACTTCTCCGTACCTTTCCGGAAGCAAAGATTAATTCTTTCCACAACTATATATATTATATATCTAAACTTTTTAGTCCATTTTCAATGCCTGTGCTAGTTATGATCTTGTCTCAACACTGGCATTCTTTGAATTAAGACTTGTCTCGGCATTTATAAATCTTAAAAAACAACCCTGAGAAATGATGATACTACCGCGCCTTTTTTCAGTCATTAGGAGAAAGTTGGATTAAATTAGCAACCTTACTTCAAGTAAATCTTGAGTTTCACTTGAGAGATGGTTGACAAGAACAAGCATTTAACATAAGCATTCACGACAACCATGCCCGCAACATTTCCCCTCTCCCAATTCCACATATTTTGACGCTTGGTGCATGCACTTCTTTTCTTATGCATCCTGTCGTTTTGTCTATTTATTTATAGGTTTTCTCGGACAACTAGTTTCTAGGTTTAAGCTCAAATCAATGGGAAGATGCATTTTTAAAAGACACGACTAAGGAATATAGAATTGTGGAACTCTGTATCTAACAGAGCTCTTTGGCTATGGCTGACAGTTCTTATTACAGCATAGCATAATAAACTTGAAGATTGTTCCTCTATTAATCGCTTTATATTTCTCTTTCGAAGGAAATTACCATAAAATATTTGGTATAAAGTCAAGCATACTTCATTCAATGACAGAATCCATCCAAATATTTTAGATTATCATTCATGATCCCATTTATCACATTAGACTTCCTCCTGGCTTTGCGGGATGGTAAAGTGACGTTTTCTTCTTTCTTTTATTCGTTTCATTTTTCCTCAACTAGTTTATTCATTAGTCAATCAATTGCACGAGCAATATTGACAAAAGAAACCCTTGCAAGAATTGAAGTTTAAGATCCTTAAAAGAACTAAAATATTGTTCAAAATCCAGACTTATAATCTGACAAAATGAAGTTCATGATATAAAACAGCTAATACCAAATAGAGAAAAGTAGATATTGCTGTAAATAAAACCATACGAACTTAATTCTAATGTAGAAACATATTACATGTACAACAAAAAGAAGTTCAAAATCAACTAATTACATACTTCTATAGCCTTTGCAGCAGCTTCCATAGCTTGAAACTTATTGTCTGGTTATCAAAGTTAGCATTATTAATATTACACAAAACATGATCTGTTCTCTTGTTAATCAATAGTTTCTTTTTGTTTTTCTCTTCCTCAAGTCCCATACTCTCATTTCCCTTTTTTCTTTTTAGTCAGGTAAATTCTATTCAAAATCCCTCCTCTTTTTCCTTCATATGAGATCTCCCATGACTGATAGTAGACGAGAAAGCATTAAAAAGCTGCAACCATAGCCGGAGAAACTCCAACTTTATCACCCATTTCCTCTTCTTCTTCGTCTTCCTCAGCTTCCCACATAAACTGTGCGTAAGATCCCAACACCATGCTGCAAATAACAACCAAAAAATAAATATGGGTTTCTAAATATAATGACTGAGCAGTTGACATGAAAGGAAAATTGAAAAAATTTACCAGTCATCAGGAGCAGCAGTAATGGCGCGGTCGAAGTAAGACTTAGCTCGGCTTTCATCTCGATGTCTCTCCCAAATTAACTTTCCGTACAAAGACAAAACTTCTCCATCACCAGGACTAGCTAAGATCGCTCTTCCGTAATACTCCTCAGCTTTCTCTATATCTTTTTCTACCTTCAAAATCAAAAGCAAACAATTTAATTAATACAATTAAAAGAAAAATTACAAGAAACTTTTTTTTTTTTTAACTTTGTTACATGAATATTGATGTCAAACTTTTTACCTCGTGTAAGAATCGGCCGTAGTTTCTCAATAGAAGCGAATCACTGGGATATCGTTTCAACATTTCCTGATAATAATCGCCGATTTTGCTCTTATCACCGTACGAATCGTCTCCGCGATCGCCTCCAGATTTCCCGCCATTTCCGAATCCATCACCAGAAAACCCTATCTCGTCCATTGAGATCCCGAATTCCGGCCAAATTGGCACGAAACTCGCCCGATCAGTTCCGTTTCCTGTCACCAATGTTTGAAACTCCCTGTCTACTTCACCATCCGACAGGTAGTCCTCCTCCGGTATCCCCGTCGGAAAACACCTAGATTCACCGGGAATCCGAGACTCCGATCTGATGATATCAGTGTCAGAAAAAGCTCGCCTCATTTGCGCAGGAGTTTCCTTCGGCTTCCGTTTATTCATAGGGAAATGCAACGAGACTATCTGAGAGCAAACGGAGGAGCCGGCTCTCTCACCGTAGAAAACTCCACCAAACGAACTTTGACGAGAAAGAGAAACTCTTGGTGAACCGCAAAGAGCCGGTGAGATGACCGGAGCCGAACCAGCTCTTAAGAGAACAGCTTTCATAACTTGAAGAACGTTTGGGTTTTTTCAACTTTCGAAACCTTTAGACTGTGAGTTAAAGCTTAGGCCTTTTGGGCGGGGGCTTCATGTTAATATAGATAGTTAAAAGCCGTTGGATGTGGTGGCGGTGTTGACTTGGAATAGTATGAGATGATGACAAGTGTAACTATGAACGTTAGCGTAGGCATGAGCGTGGCATCTGCTTTGGTGAAGAGTGAAAACTTTAGTCACGAGAAACGGGTGATTGAGCAAGTTGGTGATGCCACGTGTTAGGAAAGTTCGGGCTGGGACCCAACTGAACTAGTACGGATATCATACAACAGTAATCACAAGATGTAGAGATTTCTTTTTTTTTTTTTTTTAAATGGGATTAAAAAAAGAACCTAAGAAATGAGTGAGAGAAATTCAATTTATTATTTATTATCACTCTATCACTCTACTAAAGTTATAATAACAAAAAATAACTCGTTAGTTATAATTTTTTAAATATCACTTTAAGCCGTGTTACTAGAGACTGTTAACCTCTCTTTGAAAAAAAAAAAACATTAAATTATGATAAGTTTACCGTCAAAAAATATCTATGTGATTTTTAAAAAAATATTATTTGATATATTATTTTTAGAGTTTTTTAATTTTATAAATAGAATTAATCTAATGATATATGTTTTATTTTTTAATTTTTAAAAATATATTTTAAAATATATGTATCACTCTATTAATTTTTTATTAATTTTAAAAATTATACGAATAATATATTTAGTAATTTCTTTGTTTATTGTCTTCTTTTTTCTTTTCTTTTTTTAACTCTTTAGTCTTTACTTTCTTTCTTTTGTTCTTGGTTTTTTAACCAATTTTCCAATTCCAATTTATTCATCAACCATACTCTTGCATTGTAGAGCTCATATATACATATATATGAATTTTATCTTTTCCTTTTTCAGGAATATATATAAATTAGTAGTTTAGAGCTTGGTTTATACTAATTTATATATATTCACGAAAAAGGATTGCGCGTTGAGGGGAAGGCGGCAAAGGGATTTGGTTTTTTCTGTGTGTCCCAAAAAGGGAAATGAGACAAAAAGTCCCATTTGATCGCAAACAGTGTTTTGTGGATAAAAGGAATTAAATAAATAAAACATTTTACTTTCACATTGCTTCAAACCAAAACTTCCATTATAAAAGAATCACCATTAGTTTAGAATACGTGATTCATTTGCTTTGCTTTATTGTTGTTGGAATTTGAAGTTTTGACGAGTATACACTGCTTTACTTGATAATGGGCTCCAAGTTGATTGAACGGCGCATGTGATAGAACTTTACTGCTCACTCCATCGTGGCATGCTTCTTTTACGTGCCATCTGGAAAATTAACTTCACCAGCCTTTTTCTTTTTTTTTCTCATTTAGAAAGAGACTGTTGGATATTATTGTACCATTTCTTTCTATTTTCTTTTCTATTTTGATGAAAACTGTCCTAGAGAATGTGATTCATCTTCTAACACTTAGGATTTAAATGCTATGACGGTTGCCTGTGGGTGAGGATTATAGAACGATAATAAGAAACTTTTATCCAAAAACTAAATTGATGCAAATAAAAAGAATATCCTGGGCGAAACTCTCATCCTAAAACCCACAAGTAAATTGCAAATGAAATGAACATCCAGGCCGAGCCGCCGAGGTCAGCCCAAATCACACCCCCGTCCTTCAGCTTGCCTGACCGTGGCCTTAGGCTAGCCCAGGTTGACATATAAATGATCTACTAAACTACTACAAAATCTCTCTGACAACATTCGATTCAGTGGTGTTTGTTCATCATGGATATCAGTTGATCTCCAAGAACGCTTCTATCTCCCCCGCAGCCCCCCACCACTCTTCATAATTCCTGGTGGTCCCAATAACTCATGCAAAACACAATGCTCTTTAACCTTGACCAAAATCAAGCTCTGCAACAACAATGATACCTTTGTTCACCATAACTTACCTCTACTTTCACTTCCTAAGAAGAGTGAGTGTCGCGTGTCTTGCAAGAAATGGCTCGTAATGGTGAGCCCCAAACTAGAAATGGCCAAGCTAAGCCTGGTTTCAGGTGTTAGATATCGACTCCCTGATGTTACAACTCTCCCTCCAGTACTTCAAATGTTAGCCTTATCAAAGACTCACATCCATTTAAAAAAGCGGTCATGTCCTCAAGCGCTACCTTCGATTACTCTTCCAAGTGCTTTATCATTGTTATATATACTCGCCATTGTGCCTTGGCCAATTGCGAACTAGGAGACACAATCTGGAGCTCCACAAAATCTACAGATTCAAATGGCAAACCGTGTAATGGCTTTATACGATGCCATATATCACAAGGGACAGCAATATGCCTTGCACGAAACAGGAAAAATCTTTACCTGAAATCTCACTGCCCCTTCTCCAGAGATGACATAGTTCGTAGCCAGTCCACGCAGACCCTTAGACAAGTAGTACTCGCCTGTAGACAGCTACCTTGTCGAATCAGGAGGAGAATAACTACTTATATACCGCAGGAAAGATCAAAACTTGCACCAAAATAGGTTACTGAACAACAATGTTCAAAATATACGGTTTAGATTTCAATCTGAAGAAATGGATTCCAGTAGCAAATTTGGGTGACCATGCATTGTTTTTTGGGGCTCAGTCAGTCTTTCTCACTCTCTGAGTTGAGCATGGTAGGTGTTAAAAGGAACCACATATAATTCATCGATGACTGTATTCATGCTGATTACTACTACAAGGACACAGGATGTGACAAAGGTGAGTTCAATTTGCAGAGCTCAACTATTGGTTTCTGCCCTACCTGCTTCAGGCTAACTTATCCACCCGGGATTTGAGTCACTCCAGCACTAGAATCAAGTCTTAGCTAGACTACAAGTCCTTTCACTATTCTTTTTGAGAGTTCTAATTCTTCATGAAATACATAGCCAGTGTACAATGCAGCACTAGGATATCCATAGCAATTTTAGATCCAAATCACATTACAACCTTAGCCAAATTAACTAGGATATTGATAATGTACACCTCTTAAAAGAGAATGAATTTAATTCAAAATTGTTACAGATATCAAATACAGGAAGAGGCCAATTCAAAAAATTTAAGTTTCACCATCACTAAAGACAGTTTTATTTCACCGGCAAAACCTTCATGTTGGACAGATATATATTGTTCATTACTTCATTACAAGGAACATCAAATAACATGCCCTTGGATTACAAGATGATAATATTTACATTCTACAAATCACATACTCATAGATTTTTTCTAATGGAAAATAGGAACCAAAAAAAGAAAAACAACCAACCTCTTCATAGCTGCTACTCTATTGATTTTTCTTCAATCTCGAAGTCGAGGATGGTGATTTATGTTCACGATCCGAAGTTCTAATAATGAACAAAAGCGTTTCAAGGAGCATGCCGAAAACCAATCCAAGAATACCTCCAGCAGCATTCTGAGAACGAAAAGTACAGCACCACCAAATTCAAATTCAACATTAAATAATCTAAAATAAGGAACCCAAATGACCCAAGACATAACTACTTATAAATTTAAGAATGGTAGTTTGAAAGTACCATGATAGGGCTGTGATTAAACAATGCTCTAAACGCAAAATATCCAACCAAATACCCAGTAAACATCGTCAGGGCAACATGTAAACCTGTTCAAGTATACATCACCAGAAGTAACTGTAAAGACGTATCTTGCAATAACCAAAAAACAAACTATTTGAACTAACTTTTGTTACCATTAGATTGTTCATTTAACTACATAAGTTTTATTGTTTCAGAAATTAGAAGGCAAAATATTTTCAAAGAACGCCACTAACCAAAGCCAATTTGATCCTTATAAGTAGAGAAAGGTTCATTGAAATCCTTCTCCGGTGTGATATCTTTAACAAGTTCTTGATACTCTTTCCTCTCTGATATTTCTTGAAGCTTCCTTAATCTTTCCTTCAGTTCTTCGCTCTACCGATTCAAATTATAACAATGAAACCAAATCAATTTCCCTGTTAATAAGAAAATTCAACCAAAACAGAAACTGAATCATATTTAATTTACCTTTTCTCTCGGTTTAGGGCTGGAAAAAACGAAATTAGATCCGGAGAAAAGAGAAAGCAGTCCAGGCCTAGAGTCAACATCTGACTCGACCCATATGCTTCGGATCTGCTTGTATGGTGCAGTGGTTCGTGAGGAAAGAGTGAGAGCCAGTTCTCGGAGCTCTTGAGAGAGGCGTGGGTCGTTAGAGGCTGAGAGAAGAAACGAGCGAGCGGATTCGGTCACGGTTATCACGAGTCCGGGTTGATTTTGCAGGTCATCGGATCTCATTCTTTTTTTTTTTTTAATTAATGTGGAAGTGCGTGAAATGTAGAGCCGGAGGTAGTCTGGTGAAGCTTCTAGGAGAGGACAAATTGAAGAAGGAAAACAAAAGGGCCAACCGGAAACGGCGACGTTTAAATGAGGTGAAACTGAAACCAGATTTGCAAAGGAGAAGTGGGAAGTAGTGTTTAGGCTAAAAGATAAGGCCCAAGCTTAGGCTAGAGCCGAAGGCCTGACGCAGATTTGTCGTCAGTCAAGCTCAGACCCAATGTGAATGAAAGACTAATGAGAGATTTTCCAACAATAAAAATTCACGCTGCAGGCATTATTACATATTATTAATGGGATTTTATTTTTTTATTTTTGCTTTCGAAAATCAAATAATAAAAAATTACATTATTTATATTTTTTATTTTTGTTTGCCTTTGATATAATATTGTTACTTTTACATAAATATTATTGAAATGCATTTAAAACTTGAAAATGATGGTTCTAAAAAAAATTTTTTATTTGTATTTCCACGGCTCGAACCTAACATGATCATCCAACAAAGGTTAAGCAACAAGAAATTGAATAAGTTGATGGTGGATTTTGAGATTGGAGGACCTTTGGAGAATTGATGACAAAACTCTCCAGTCTCCATCTATAACTGGTGATCATAAACAAAAGCGAAGAAATCTTCTTTCCAAGTTCCAAGTACTCACCCAAAACCAAAATATTTTTTTCATCTCCATGCATTGGATTTGCAAATTATTTCATCCCGTGATATTTTAAGTTTCGACTAGTGAATGATTGTTTTAAGTGACAAATAAAATATATTTTTTCTTATTGGTGTTTGAGTTTGAACTTATTAGGAAATTGTAAGAAAGGTTTTTTTTTTTTTTTTTGTTCAGAAAAATAAATAGCTCTAATAAAGAAAAAAAAAAAGCTTGATTCCAAACTAAGATTTCTATATTTTCATAAAATTTTGTTAACTAATAAATTAAGAAACGGAAGACAAAAAAATTATTTTTTAAACACATTAAATTTAATATAAATAAATTTATTTAAATCAAGTAAAAAAAACATATTGAATAAAATCCAATAATCTCTTACATTAAATAAAAAAACAAGTTTGGAGCTTTTATTATAGCTCAAAAATAGGAAAATTATTGTTGTTAATTAATGTTAAAATTCAATTTCATATTTTTATTTATTGAGTTCATCCAAGATGAAGTTTAATTATAGTTAAACAATATTTTTTTTATGAAGTCAGGTGTATCATTTATTTATTTAATATTTAAAATGATTAAAAATTAAATCAATCATTTGACGCATGTATCATTCATTAAACATTATTAAAAGATTTTAATTTTCCTTAAAGTAAATATTACATTAATATTTGGCCGTAAACAACTAACATTTTAGAATCAAATAGCATTTTCCTAATCTTTTGCTAAATTGATATGTTGTTAAATTGGTAATTTTATAGGTGAATAATGAATACTTAAAAAAAAAAAGGAATTAATTGTTTTTTAAATAAAATTTTACTATTTGTTATTATAAAAAGCTTATAATTTATAGGGGAGAAGAAGAAGGAAAAAAAATTACAGAACAACGAATTGAATAGCTTCAAGTCATGCATTAGATTTTTCCACGAAATTGGCAGATAGAAAAAATCACTTTGAATATAAGAAAAGGACAAACCGGATAGAGAGAATAATAATGTTCGCAACCGGTTTCTTCACCAGTTTGCCTCTTTTCCCAACTTCTCTGCTTGCAGAAAGTTTAGCCATTTTTCACTCTTACAGAAAAAATAGTACTGAAAAATCTAGTTCGTAGCTTTGTTGATTTCTTCGATCTGTATGTTATCTGAACAAAATCTATCTCTAACTTTCATCATCAAATTTCCATTCCATTTATATAAAATATCTTTCTATATTTCCACTTTCGTTACCCTTCATAAATATCCTTTTCCAACGTTTCCTGACTTTTTTTTTTCCTTCTTAATTATCATATGATATTTAAGGTTGTAGATCTAACTCCAAAATTTTCAACTAACTTTTCCATTTCCTCGTCCTTCATTTATATCTTTGTTTGATCTGTTGTAGCTGTTTCTTTGTTGTCGTCGTCGTCGTCTTCCTTGAGAAAAGTTGAAAATTTTCTGTCAAATTTTGTTTCTTTAGAGGTGTAATCATATACCCATTTCTCAAATCATTAAAATTTCTCTGTTTAATTTCAATTTTCATCCAAGTCATGTGATTTTAACATCTGGGTACGTCTCCTTTTTCATGTTTTCATACTAAAATTAGGGTTTTTTTGTCAAAAAAAAAATCCCTCTTTGGAAAGTTACATGGATTACGGTAGAGAAAATGTAGTTCACGTAATTCCGATAAATGGACCTGAAAATTGGGTTCCAAATTCGGGAGATCCTTCAGTTTGGGCTACGGAAGAAGATTACTGTGTTTGGAACAACCATGAAACCTCCACCGACACACCTTCAAACTCCAGCTACGACCAAAGACAACCTCAATCATGGTCCAACTCCGAACAGCCTCCAAACAAGAAACAAAGAAACTCTTCCCAGGAATTAAATTTCAGGTCCAAAGCCATAGGCAAAATATTTTTCAAGACCAAGCTTTGTTGCAAGTTCAGGGCTGGCACTTGCCCTTACATTACAAATTGTAACTTTGCTCATAGCATTGAAGAGCTTCGACGCCCACCTCCTAATTGGCAAGAAATAGTGGCTGCTCATGAAGAAGACAAAGGGGTTTTATCAGAGCCAAGAGAGGAATTTCAAATTCCTTCTCTGGGGTCTTCTAGTTTTTCAGGGGAATCACAGAGGTCATATAAGGGAAGGCATTGCAAGAAGTTTTATACAGAGGAAGGGTGTCCTTATGGTGATAATTGTACCTTTTTGCACGACGAGCATTCGAAGAATCGAGAGAGTGTAGCTATAAGTTTGGGGCCTGGAGGGTATGGTGGTGGCGGGGGAGGAGGTGCTGCTGGTGGCGCCGCTGGGAATGGATCGAATACAAAGCCGTCTAATTGGAAGACAAGGATTTGTAATAAGTGGGAACTTACTGGCTACTGCCCATTTGGAAATAAATGTCATTTTGCTCATGGAGTTGGAGGTATGGTTTTCACTTGTTTATTATTGTTATTTAGTTAAAAGACTAGTATTTGTTGAAAGAGTCTATCTTAACTGAAATGCTCCAATTTATGGAAGAGAACTGTAGTCTGTAATTGTTCAAGTCATATGAGTATACTGGGATTTTCTTCTTGGTGGGTGTACTTCTGTGTAGTTAACCGCCTTTGATTGGCTAGAATTCTAATTAAACAATCAGTGATATGTAAGTTTTTGCCTTGATTGCAACCATCCAATTTACTGATGAATATCAGGCAAGTTGGATGTTCCTATACTCTTCTCATGGTTCTAACTTACTAAGTTAGAACCATGAACTTGCAGTGCATATGCTTGTACCATTTATCTGTTCTCTTACTTTTCGCGAGTGATTAGAGCCATGCATGTTGTTATCATACCTTTGAAATTTTAGAACTTTCATCTCACTTCTATTTTTGAATTAGCCAGTGCTCTATTGATGGGTGATGCAAAATAGATGTTTTTGTTGTTTTTTTACGCAGATAGATGGTTTTTCAACTAGTCATGAGTATCTTCTGTGTTATAGCATGTATTATTATATTTTGTGGAAACAAGCTTTATATGAAAGTTGTTTTTGTATCCTTTTCCTTTTATATTTTCATTTAGTAGGGATGACTACCTTCTTACTGCAGAATTACACCGATATGGAGGGGGCCTTGTGGATGTAGAAGCTAAGGATTCTTCTGCTACCACTTCTGACTCAAAGCAAGGGGGAGGAGTGCCTTCTAAAACTCCTGTTGATACTGTGGCTGCACCGGTCCCTTCCGTTACGCACTCAGATGTTTATCATCTTGGGGTTCCTTCACAAAGGACATCTATTGTACTCCAGAGGCCAGGACAAAGAACTATTCAGAAATGGAAGGGTCCAGATAAAATCAGTCGGATATATGGTGACTGGATTGATGATATCGAATAAACTTTGGTCCTTCAAGTATTGAAAAAAACAAAAAAACAAAAAAAAAAAGGAAAGAAGGGGAGAGCTGAAATTCTTTGCAGTAAGAAGCTTTTCCTGGGAAAGTGAATAATTTAGATATTCCTTGGACGGTAGGGTCATATACCTTCAGCTTCTGCACTAGGGTATTTTTTTCTTTGCTCACTTCAAGTCTTCAGTGGATCCCTGGCTTATTGACATCTGAGCTGTATCATTCTTATGTATGAATATTCCCTCCCTGGCTGGGAATATGACGTTTGTATTACTAGCTGTAGACTTTGTCCTTGTTATGAAATCTATAAATCATTAGATGACCCTTTTTAATCTGAAAACTGAAAAGAAACTTATTCCACTTTGCATAAGTTATCATTTTTGTTCTTAGTTCTCTATTGCAGGAAATCTTGATTTTACCATGCGCGTTCCTAAATTTTAAGCTGAATTTGGCACGCATGCAATTTTGTTCATTTGAAGATTTGCTGGATTTTTCCGAAGATTTTATTACCGCTTCCAGTTGGTTTCAAATGATGCAGAGACTAATGGTGATTTACCATTACAATTACACCAGAATGATGCCAAGCAGCAATCTTTTTGTGGTGGACTGATGGTGTTAAGTTAATCAGAAAAATCCCAAACCCAAAACTGAAAAAAGTGAAAGGAACTCCGAATTGATAATAACCAGACTGACTGCCATAACCAAAACCCATATTCTGTAGTTTACCATGGTGTGGTTGGAATAATGTCATTGGTTTGCAACAATAGTAAGCAGAGCAAGTACTAGTGTTGTTCAGACAAAGCTACACATCCTTCTCACAAAGGACTCCGTCAATAACCATAAATATAATGCTAACTGAGCATCAGCTTTCCAAATTAAGGTTACTTCTTTTTCATACTCCTAAAACACATTGATATGCCGCCTTGTTTTTCTCTTGCTTCTACACAACCAACAAAGAAAAATCTCACTTTTTTTTTCTTATAAATGCAAAAATACAAGGCCGGAACCATCTACACTCCGGCCACTGCTACTCTTTTTATTCAATGTGGACTTATTCTAGTTATGCAGAACCACCATCCTCATCAAACTACAGCCCCCAGTACCTGTAATTATAACGGTAGTTTTCCTTTTGTTCTTCTTTGATTTTTTCGCAGCATATTTTTGTAGGTATTTCCTGGAACATCTTCATGCTACCAGGAATCATTGGCCTAACCCTTCAGGTGCTGTAGCTGAGCTGCCACAGCAGGTGAAAATATGAGTAATGGCCTTGATCCTGAACTAATACAAGCTTTCCCAACATTCTATTATTCAACTGTCAAACAGTTTCGTTGCGAAAAATATGGCCTAGAATGTGCTATTTGCTTAGGAGAGTTCAGCGATGATGATATGCTTCGACTTTTGACAATTTGTTGCTATGTTTTCCATAAAGAATGTGTTGATCTTTGGCTTGAATCACATAAAACATGTCCTGTTTGTCGCGGGGTGCTAGATGTGCCTAGGAAATCAATAGAGAAGTCTCCGTTACTTGTTCATAGCAATTCCATGCATGAAATTGGAGCAAGTCAAAGTTCACTGCAAGATGCTGTTAGCATTGACATTAAAGAAGGTAATAATAAGAAAATTGATGGGAGAGAAGATGAAGCACAAGCCTCCTCAAATAAAGGAGAACAAAACCATAGAAAACGTGATAAGATGGAAAGATTTTCAAGGTCACATTCCACTCGGCACTCGATAGATAGGACTAGATCAGAAGAGAAGGACAGATATACTCTCAGATTGCTTGACCATGTCAAAATAAAAATTGTAAAGGGACATAACTCTGCAGGTGGTTGCATTGCATTTGGTGAATTTGCAAGCCCCTCGGGCTACAGGAAAGAAGTTTCTGGTGAAGCACCAGAGACATGCCGAGGAGACATTGATAAAGAATAAGTTTCTAGGGACTCTTTTCTTTTCTTTTTTTTTTTTGTTCTCTTTTATTCACACAAAAGCTCATTTTTTACATATCTTACGAAATTCTGAATAGAATCTATTTACAAGCATTATCTGATAATCTTCTCAGTTCTCATGTTTCTTTATACTTATAGGATTTATTCAATATTGCATGAACTGATAATTTGAGATTAACATTCGGAGAACAGAAATAAGCAGGAACATTCAATCATAAAACTCTAACTTGGTCGACATTTGAGTTCACATACTCCTTTTTTCATTTGATATTTACTGTCCAGAATTCAACTCATGTCTTCCAGTTATTTGCCTGCGATCTTCTAGAGCTTGCTTCTTTATGTTCTGAAAGATTAAGAATGAAGTTTCAGGATTTCGTATCTGTATTTCCCTTTATCTGCAATGTTTGGTAACTTTCAGCAACAAGACAAAAGGTTCGGAAAGGGCTAGATTTCAGCAACTATTGCCTTTGATGAGTGGCACCAGTTAGGCTTGATACAAGCTGTACTCTTTTGGTCTTGTAGTAGCTCATGAACTTTGCTACAAATTCTGCTGGCAGGAATAGGTAATGATTAGATCAACAGAAGGCATTATATGCTTTACAGCACTGTAGATTATATTTGAAATGATAACACGAGGTACATTAATTAGCATATATAAAAAAAGGTTTTGATAATTAAGAATTAAATCTGTTGTTTTACCTTCTACTGATAAGAAAAAAATTTGAGGAAAGTTTCTCATTTTGTTGGCTAATACTTAAGCTTTGTAGCTTAACTTTCGTTCTCCACAAAAATGTTCATTAGGCTTTAATATGTTTTAAGAATTTAAATTGCCATCAAGGTCGTTTTTATTGAGATTGGAGATATAAGGAAAATTATTATGATTATTATGATTATCAAAATCTTGAATTTTTTTTAATTTTGTTCCATTTGCTATAAAATGTAGTAATTATATTTATAATCATAAAAGCTTTTATTTTATAATTTTTAAAATAGGTTATGACACATTTTATCTTTTATTTTTAAAATAGATATAAATTTTTTTTTTTTTTTAATTTTGATAAGGAATGAAGACGATGGACGTGACCTCCCCAACACTCCTATTTTTTGCCAAAATATATTGCAAGTACGCTGAATAGGCTTGGGCTTCAAAGCAACTCACACTGGCTTAAAAATGTACTAAACCCAGCTAAACCCAAGCTCATGCCCAAGACCAAATAATTTTAATTTTTGGGCCTTCAATTTCTTTCCAATTCCATTGCCGGACTGAAAGCCAATAAGACCACCAAAAGCCTTTGTGGCACTAGTGGTACACAGAAGTCATGGGTGATCATTGGTCCGATGCTTCGGGCAGGGCTAACCAATTCCCAGGTAAGCTCCTACTTCTCTCCCCTTTTTATCTTCGTTAATAGCTTACAGCTAATATATATCCGGCCAATGTCGGCAGCGATGTTATGGTTTGCCCATTTGCTTCTTCCTTTATTTTGTTCTCTGCTTCTATTGTCTTTTATGTTTCTTGTGTATATTAAAAAAATAACCCTCACCCATGTCTTCTTCCATCTTTAATTTCTCCCACAGTTCCATTCCTCCTGCAATTCCAACCGCAAACCCCTAAATTTCCCCTATCCATTCTCTGCCTCTGCCTTTCATCCCCAATCCAGTCTAGGTTTTGTGTCTTTTGGACTGAATTTGTGAATTGATGTCTGTTCTCTTTGCTTTTCTGTTTTAAGTTTTTAACCCGAGCCAATGATTTTTTTTTGCTAGAATAATGCAGGTTCACCACGTCAGACTATGGTGTAATGCCTGCCTGCAATTCGTTTTACTTACCTTGCCAGCCTTGTGGCCTCGAATGAAGGAATGACTAATTCTCTGCCATGGTTTCGGCCTATGCATGGGCGGTTCAATATCTTCTTCTTTCCTAATCCGCGTGACCAGTGTGGGCCTTTTGGGCTTCTTTCCAGGCTTTCCTAATCCGCTGATATAAACTCTGGGGTTCGGCCCAACAGAGTAAGTAGGGGCCTTTTGGGCTTCTTTCCAGGCCTTCCCAATCCGCTAATATAAGTCAGGGCTTGGGCCCAACACAGTAGTCGGTCAAGTTTCTCTTATAAATTGTAGGTTACCGTTGCCATATCCAAAATTGGTGAAATTTAAACTAATAATAATTATTATTATAATACTAATTGAAAAAAATATTATAATTATAATTATAAAAATAATTTTTATGAAAAATCTATGTTAATTTAATTTTATTAAAACTGGCATTTAAATTCGATATAATTGGTGGAATAATGAATTTAATAACTGCGGTGAAATTCAAAAGGAACTAAATCTCCGCCTTTTCTTAGTTTTTTTTTTTTTCTTTTATTTGGCTTCTTACTTGTCACCCAAGTTTCCAGCTTCTACTCTCAACTCAAATAACAGATTGTTTCTCTCTCTCGCTCTCTGAACTGTCTTTTTCAATTTCTTTTTCTATACTTTTATTTTAATATGCAGATTTTTTATCGTACATTTTAGAAATGTCGGTGCATTTAATCACGGTAAGTTTTCCTACTCAATCTCCTCTCAAACCCTAATTGGTAAATATATCGATTCTCGACACTGAAATGTTTACACATCATACAATTTGAGTGGAGATTAAAGTAGATTTATCAAAAAATAAGATGAGTTTATTTTTAGTCCAAATACACACATAAATAAAGTGAACTGTAATAAAGAAATTATGTTCACATTAGTTAGAAAAAAAATCATGAATATGAATGAGATTGTGATCATATTCATGAGTAAATGGATAGATTATGTTCACATACAAATCTCATGATTTTAAGCATGATTTTAGCAATTCAATTGAAAGTTTTTATGCTTAGAGAAATGATCCTAGCCTATATATTTTATATTATTCTTTGGTAAAAAACAGACTAGAGTTTTGTTTATCTTACGCAATCTTTTAGATTGTTCTTCAAGTTCTGTATCTTTTAGGTGAATTTTTTAGAGTGGTGAATTTTTATTGTTCTGTATCTTTGATTAGAATTCTTAGAGTGGTGTTTCTGTATCTCTTAGTTTTTAGTCTTAGTAGTGAATTTTTATCCATTTTAATGTTATTCAAATTCTTGTGAGTTATTTTCTTTGTAAGTTTTTTCTATTTGCAGTTAATCTCCACATTTCAAACATCAATTCCCAGCATCAATTCTTTCAATGTTTTCTTTGTTCTTTTTTTTCATTCATCTTGATTCTAGTTTTTTGGCTTTTCTACTTGCCAAACCATCTCTTTTTCTTTACTCTTATTCTTATCTGTAGATTTGTGATCTTTCATTCTAGGAATCTCTGTGCTTTTGATTACTGTAGATTTGTTAACATCATATCCTCATACATAAATAAAGCTTTTGTTGTTATTTCTCTGAGAATGGGTGTCTAAATTCAATCACTTTGAGAACTTCAAATGCGTGTCTAAATCCTTCAATGTTATGTATGAAAGTGGATGTCTGCATTCATTCCCTTTGAGAACTTCTGAATTTGTCCCACCAATATGTCAAAACTTATTGAATTTGTTTGTATATGTAGCAAAATATTATGTTATCATCCTGGTGAATATCAATCCCAAAATTTTTATTATTTTAATGTTTTTGAACCTTGCCTCATTTTGTCAGGAGGACCTTGGGGTTGTCTCCTTTGTACTAGTGAATTCAATTGTTTCATAGCAAGCATGAAACATCCCATCATCAATGTGAGTTATCTATATTTTCTAGATGCTGGTATTAACTTGTCATGTATGATGATTATCATTGTAAATTTTTTTTTCTTCAAAGCATATGTTTTTAACTGTGGCTTTGCAATTTTTTTATTGATTATGCAATATATCTATATTTGGTATATAATATATACTGTTTCAGATCTATGTTCCACTTAGTTTTCTTAATGCTTCCTAAGAAGTTGGTGGAAGGCAGCCCTTAAATCTACAACTCTACTGCTAGGATTTGGTAGACTTGTTTCTACATTGAGTGTGGACTATCAAGTAGAATATATTTCTTCATACTTGACTTTTTGTAATAGTAGTTGGCTGCAATGGCATAGGATAAGCTGTTTTACACGTCTTCTCACTAATATAAAGCATATGGAATTCTGGGAGATGTGTAAAATTGTAATACCTTAACCCAAATGATAATTAGGTTAGACTATTACTAAAGCCCATTAAGTTAATTAAGAGGTTAATTACTAAAGAAAAAGTGGCTGAGTGTTTTACTGGATAAAAACCTAGTATCGTGAAATAGAAAAGAAAATACGAGTTCTTCTTCCCCATCTTTCTTAGGGTTAAAGAGCATGAAAAATCAAGTACATGATCCAAAATCGGAAGACTACAATCGAGTTAATCTCCTAAATGTGAGTATATGCCTCTTTTTATTTAAGAAAAAATATCATGTTGATTGTTATTATATGGAGTTAAAGTTTTGAGAGAAAAACTAAGAAAATTATGAAATCTTTCATTAATCTTTATGATCTATTTGGGTAAATTATTGTTCTTAAGATTTATTGATGATTATTAACTGGAGTTTAAAGATTGAAAGTAGGGATTTAAATTTTTAAAGATTGAAGGAGAAATTCTGTTTTTTATATGAGATGCTATGATCTACAATAGTGAATCAAAATAGAATTTTGTATTAATGGGTAAGTTATTGCTATGATCATTATATATAGTTGGAAAGCGTGTTGAATTTGCTTTCTAATGAAACAAACGGAAGTCCAATCCAAGTATTTTATGGAAGTTGTCTAATTTTTACTTAAGGATATATAGGTTGTAAGACAGTAGCATCAGAGTTAAATTATGAAAATTGTCTTAATTTTTATACAAGAAATTATAGATGAAGCCATATATGTTCGGAAAACTTATTGAGTTTGCTTTCCAACAGAGCAAGCGGAATTGAATTTGGAGTTTCGTATAAATAAATATATAATTTTTATTAGAAGGTATATGTGCTGTCTGGCAGCAGCATATGACGTAAATTGCAAAAATTATTATAATTAATAAACAAGGAATCACAAGATTGGCCATATATGGTTAGAAAGCTTATTGAATCTAATTTCTAACGAATTAAAAGGATTTTAATTTGAGTTGGATATCTTGAGCTATGGTCGTTTTAATGAAAGTAGCGCAAGCTGCTAGAATGAGTTACTTGAGTTAATTCTTGTTTAACTTAATTATTTTTAATATAATTGGTCTAAAAAATGGGTTGATTAATTACTGTTATGTTGAAATGATATTGAATAGGCTATTAATTATTTTGGGGGAAAAACTAAGTGGTGGAATCGAAAGAAGATAAGTAGAATCTCACACACTTTGCATGTTTTCGAATCTATGTATATATATATGTTTTTAAATAAATGAATATTTTATTTCATTATTTTTTATGTATGAAAATAAGATTAAGCATATGATTATTTTGCGTTTCTCTATATAAATGATAGATCATGCTTATTAATGAAATGAAAAAATGATTTATGTTTAAAGAACGATTTTATGATAGTTACGTTTTTACATTCCTAGGAAGTGGGATCATCAACACTAGAATTAATTCTACGGCTCTGGCTAACGGGTTATAGTAGTTAGCACAGACATGATCATACGGCCCTGCTAATAGGTTATAGTGGTTAGTATAAGACCCTGACTAACTGGTTATAATAGTTAGCAATGATCATGAGGATAAAATTGTCGATACGGTCAATGTTACGGTTTATAGCAGTGACCGTAGCTAACGATAAACGAATGATGATGATTTATGATAATAATGATTTATGATGATTTTAAAGATTGATCCATGATTCAACTTAATTACAATATTTGAATGATAGCATTTTTTTTTTTTTGCAATGATTTATGAATTGACATGTTTTGATATTGATTTATGATTTACAAAATGTTTGACATAATGATGATCTTTGAAATATTTTAACATTATGATTTGACAAATATTTTGAATGATCCATATGATATGTATGAAAATGATGCTTGATCCGATAAGATGTGTGAGTCTACACTTGCTGAGTTGTGGTTTGCTCATTCTTTTTTTACTTTTTTTTTACAGATGAGTAAATAATAAATTTGATTTCTCTTGAGAGAAGCTAGAAGATCAAAATGGGAAAGATTATTTAGTCGTTAGAAACAATACTAGCCAATGAGATATTATTAACGGTTTTGTATTTTTTTATAATTTGTATTTGGATATGTAGAGATGTATCATTAGTTGGATTAAAGATATGGATTTTACTTGGCATATTATTTTATTAAAGAATTTTAGAATAGTTAAGAAAGAAGGCCTCGTATTACTTTAGGGTTTTACTTTAAGGTAATATAACCATGTTGCGTCTTGATCTCGGGGCATGACAAAAATATGTGCTCCAAACCAGTCTGTATCCACAAGCAGAATTCCTTCTGTATTTACTCAAGCATTTTGCATTATGATCATAATATTTATACAAACTGGTTTGAGTGAATGATGCCTTTCTAAATGTTGATAATTCAACTTTTCACCTAGTGCTGATTGTTAAGCAATACTATTTTTTTTTTCCATTTAATTTCATTTTCCTTGCAGGCACTTGTGGGTGAATACTGAGTACATTGTAATTTCTTTTTCAAACTTGCTGGTGCATTTATCCTTACATTCACAGTAAGTGTTCTTCCAATATATTCTGAAATTCTTGGTTCAGTAATTTTTCTTGTTATGTCCTTCGATTCATGAAGTTTGTTTCTATTCTCTGGTAATTGCTATTTGGTTAGTCCTTTACAATAATTTGAATAACTCTCAGGGTACCAAAGTTGGTTGACTAATGAGCTAAATGTCTATCTTCTTTCTAACAAATGGGGAATGGATATCATAAACAGAAGAAACAAGAAGGGAATTTTTAGCATATTTGGTAACCATAATTTGGAACTATACCAAATTTCCTATTGGTGTATGCTTTATCATAGTTTTTGTTTGCATTTGCAGTCTTATTCTTGGATATATTGATTGTAAGATTCTTGTGATCCCAATTCTTGAGCAAAAAGCAAACTGTATTCTTTGCGTGCTGAGATCCTTCTTTGATTCAAATCTCACCTAGAAAAAAGTAGCTTGTATTGATTTGAAGGAAATTGGAAACGATGGAAAAAAGAATTTTTTAGATTAATTTTTAGTACCATTTCTTCTGTTGAAGATCTGTGTCTTCTTGACTTATTTCCACAAAATAATAGGCTAGTCATTGCTCTTTTCATCTAAAAAAGATTAAGATGGTGTTTAATTTGTGCATTCCCTTTGCTTTCATTACTTCTGTGTCTCATCACATCATTTGATGCAAGATTTTGTCGAGTAATTACTTGTTATCATACCCAGGATGCTGGGGTATGTATCTTATTGGTGTTCAGGTGGGCTGCTGTCCCTTCTTTGGAAATCGTTATTCTGCAATGCAGAGAAGCAATGATGGAACATGAATTAGAGTCTGGCTTCTTTCTATCATGTTTTGGTATATACAAACTCACATGATTTTTGTTATTGATATTTGTTGTGTCCATTCCTGATAAATTGATTGCTCAGAAGGAGACCTGATTTTTGTTACCCTGTCTGTTGCAGGTTTTTAACATTGCCTCTGGATGGGCATGTTGAAAGAATTTCACCTAGAATGATGGGAAATATTCATCAATTAGATTTACTAATTTGTAGGAGTATCTTTGCAAGTAACAATCATGATTCACGAAACCACTATATGCAATTTCTGCATTGCAACCTGGTTTATGTTACTTGGGTGTTGGCACAAAATCTGCAGGTTATTCTTATTTTCTCCCTTATTTAAATATTTTCAACATTCGTCATCCCTGTGGTATTAAGTTTGTGACAGTTAGAAGCTGTCATCAATGTGAAATATTCCTCTTCCTAAAATATATAAGGTCAGGATTTAATCATTGATTAATATTTTCTTTTTCTTTATTTGTGATTGGGTACTTAATGAACTATTGGTGTCTTAAATTTAGAACTCTAGAAAGCATTTTGTGTTTAAAAAGAGGCTTGGTTGATACTGATTCAATGATAATATATTCATGTCAAGTACTAGTTTGAGTGAAAAAGGAGGGGCATTCTTTGAGTAAGTTTCCTTTTCTTTTAAGATGGATATAATTTGGTGGAGCTGGGACACTTAGTTTGACATGTGTACATCAGTTTGTTGTGCAGAAATGGTGAGTCAATAATTGACTTAGGAATAAGAGGATCATGTATCAACCATGACTTGGATAGGAATTTTTGTTCTCCATCAGCCTCTCAAGAGTAGAAGTTCACTGCTCTGAAAATTTGTTACCCAAACTGAGCCCATGCCTGTTTACCTCTTTCATGTTTTTGGTATAATTGGTCAACATAGATGCAATTACTCACAAAAAATAAGTGAATCGTGATGGATGTGTATAGTTTTTTTATCTATTGTCAAATGAGGTGCATGGCTAACTAGAGGTTTACCCTTGTTTTAGCTTTTAAAAATACTAATGCTTTCTGATTACGTCCCTGGGAACAAAATTTCAGCTCTTGAAAGAGCATACATGACCCGAATTTATTGGCTTCCTTTCATCTGGTAAAGAGAACATCCTCCTCTTTCATTAATTCATGTGCTATAAGAATTCTTTATTATCCTCCTCTGGCTCAAAGAAATAACATAACAGGTTTTCTTGGATTATTTATGCAGGCAAATGCGCTCATAGGGCTGGTGAACTTGTTTGTGGATATCCTGTTTGCCTCAAAAGTATCAGCCCTTTTAATCCTGATTTTCTATTCTTTGTCTTTGTATGTTGCCATTGGGATCATAGATTTTTTAGTGTTAGTAAAATTTTAGTAGGCTGACCGTTGCATCTGTGTGCAAAATATTTCCTTTTTTTTTGGAAAGCTATAATGATGTAGTCTTGTTTTATTGCGCATTGGAAACAAATTGTCTTCAACGCAGCTTAGAATAGAGGAATATATGTGTGAAGTTGATATATGTATGACTTTTAATGCTAGCGAGTATGATATATGGACATGAATGATTTAGGACATGGTAGACATGATATGCATAAAGTCTTAGGACAATTGAAAAGGTACGATACTTTAATGTAAACATACCTATTATATTGTTAGTTACTACACTAACATTAAGCTGTTATTTCTTCTCCTTTTGTTGTAGATTCCTTGAATGAACTGTTTTTTTCTTATGAATAAGCATTATTTTATATATGGTGCCTTAAAGGCCAAGAAAATATCAGGCATGCCCATGAGCATGCACATGGACATGCACATGTATGTATTTGTATTTTATATTGTGCATAGGCCCATTTGGCACATTTCAATGGATAGATACAATCTACAACTTTATATCATATGTTATTTGTATGTAGTTTTTGGAGTTTCTGGGGTGTAGATATATTGACATTTATTTGTACAAACGAACAATATTAGAGAGGAAAATCTAGAAAAACTTAGACAATCAATCAGTATGAATTATGAAAGGCGGGAGGACAAAGGTAAAAAAAAAAAAGTGTATTATTTTGGTGTAGGAAGCTGAAGGTCACATGGATTTCCCAGCAATGTCTCTGACAAATTGGACCACGGTCCACCTCCTTCAACCCTCTTCTCCAGATAAGGCGACAGTTCAGTGTGTTTCTTTTTCTTGTATCTCTCTCTCTCTCCTTCACACACGCTTACATCTATAATAATAATAAAAAATAACAATAATATTATTATTATACGAATTTGCATTTATGTTTTTAATAAAAAATTGACATTTATAGCTTGCAAAGCAGCACTAGTCTACACGAAGCAATTACTCGACATTTTCCTTGTGTTATTTTTAGTTTTAACGAAGAAAAATTAGAAAGCACTGCTATGGCCATGTTTGTGTTTATAATATTTTTAAGTAGATCGAGTGTCAAGATTTTATCACTTAAAATCTAAAAGTTCGATTGAGATTTCTGTTTTATTATTATTTTTTAATATGTAAAATTTAAGATTAATAATAATTGGGTTTCTTTTTTTTTTTTGGATAAATTAATAATAATTGAATTTCAATTGAAACAAGGCATTCTTGTACTAATCTAAAACCATACTTTGCTTTCGTGTTATGCAATGGCAAGCCATTCGTGCTGCTTCCATATCATGGATTTCTGATCACTTTTCACATCACGATGAGGGTGCTTCCAGTAGTGATCATGATTCATGAAAGTGCCAAAAAACCACTTTCGTAACTCTAACAGGTCTTTTGAAAGCATAATCATCATGGGTTTGCAGTCTTAAATCTCTTAATATCCTACTCTACAGATTCTCACATTTTCGTTTATTTGCATTTTCTGATCGATTGGCAAGTCAAATGATAAACGGCCCAGAGGTAAAATCCAATTCCCATGAAACAAAGCTAGAAAAATTCAGGAAAAAAAATGCCCATTACACTGCAGAGAATGGGCTGTCAAGCACATGTTAAGCTTTCCGTGTCAAATAATGTGTATAAGAATCTATGGTACGTGAGCCAGTCATTTCTTTTCCCTGCAAAATAAAACACACATTTGAATGTGAAGATTTGCTTTTACCTAGCTCGTATTTTTGTTGGTATGCATATTTCTATATAGATTTGGGGCCCTCCACCACTCTCTCCATTGCAGAGCTGTGCCAGTGTTGATAGCGCCTATGAAATCAGGAAGACAAACCCTAAACAAGGATGGGTGAAGAGCTTCTTTCTTTTCGCTCTCTTTTTGGTACCACAAAAGAGAACTTTATCCTTTCTTGACCCTCTCACGTGCATCATATCGTTCTTTCTATACTCTACCAAAGCCACAACCCCTCCCTCCGTCTCCCTTACTTCACTTTAACCTCTCTTTAGCTTCTCTCTCTCTCTCTCTCTCTCTCTCTCTCTCTCTCTCTCTCAAGATTTCAAGTGCTGGGCCTTAGGCTAAAAAGTGATTTTTGTCTTTAGAATGAATTTCAGTATTTAAGGTCATATTATTTGGAGGAGTAGATTGCGTAGATTGTAGAGAAATGGCACTTGAAACTCTTTCTTCCAACGAGCTCTTGAACTTCATTATCTGTGATACTATATCTGCAACCCCATATAGCATCCATGACTCTTTCGTGACTAATTTCTCATTGGAAAGTAGTTTCAGTTCCCAAGAACAAGCTAGTAGTGCTTTGAATTGCTTTTCAATGGTGACAACTCCACAATGCCGCTCAACAGGAGCGGAAGCTGTTGAACGGAGGCCGAACTTGGCAGTTCAAGGGAGGAAAAAGAGAAGGAGAAAACCAAGGATTTGGAAGAACAAAGAAGAGGCTGAGACACAAAGAATGACGCACATTGCTGTTGAGAGAAACAGGCGAAAGCAAATGAATGAGCATCTGGCTGTTTTACGCTCCCTCATGCCTGAATCTTATGTCCAAAGGGTTTGTCTTCTGACTCTTCTCCATCCTTCTTCTTTTTTCTTACTCTCCTCTCCTCAAATAAGTTTCAGGTAAAACGAGAGTTGTTAATCTTCTGGTTAAGCCTAAGGGTCTAGCCATGCATATTCAAACTCAAGACGACGACAATTCTCGATGCTTTATTAGGAAACCCAGGTTATGAAGTGTCTAACAAAAATGGAGGGTTTACTGGATTTGTAATTAAATTAATATATCCATATTTCTGGATTGTTGAAACATGCATGTTAAGTCATATTTTAGAATGTTTTCTTTTTATCCTGTTAGCTTCACTGCATTACCATGTTTTATTGATCAATTACTCATTCTTTTACTTTTAGAGAAATGGTTACTTCAAGGTTTAACTAATTGATATACTTGAGTAGTAGAATTGTAATCTGATTCAGTACAGTTCTGAAAAACTGGACAAATTGAATTCTAAAGTTCAATGTTGCAGCAAAATTTATCAGAACGCGTCAAAATAAAAAGTTCAGCTAGAATTGGGAAATATTAAAAGAATCCTATTATTTCCTTTTCCTATTCTTTGGATTATGCTCTTGTTTGCTAGTCATGCAAAAGCTGGAACTATTGATGAAAAAGCTGTTCCAAAAAGATTTTGGAAATAGTAATTATAAGGATACTGCAAAAGAGACCAGCTTTTTCCTGTATAATATATCAGAAGAATTGTGATACAAATTCCTGGTTATTACTTTATCTAATTTGCAGTTTCAAAAGTTCAATTTAACAATATAAATTTTGTATGTGTAGGGTGATCAAGCGTCCATAGTTGGTGGTGCTATAGAGTTTGTCAAGGAACTTGAGCATCTTTTGCAGACCCTTGAAGCTGAAAAGCTTCGAGTACTGCAACAAGTAAGACCAGCTGCAGCCAATGAAGAAATTGCCACCAACTCCAAATTGCCTTCACCACCATTTGCACAATTTTTTATGTATCCTCAGTACACCTGGTCCCAGATCCCTATCAAATGTACATCAAAGACTAAGGCATCAATAGCGGATATTGAGGTGACATTGATTGAAACTCATGCTAATCTTCGAATTCTCTCACGAAAAGGTCCCAGGCAACTTTCCATGCTTGTTGATGGTTTTCAGTCACTTTACCTTTCCATTCTCCACCTTAATGTCACAACCATGGATCCATTAGTTCTTTACTCTATAAGTGCCAAGGTAATGTGCACCTTTTTCTCCATCACCTTCATATTTCTATTTTAAGAAAAATATTGCCCCCCCTCCCCCTAATTTTCATGGGATAACAACATAATAATATGTAGTCGACCTTTGAACATATTGTATAAAAAACCAGTCATTGCATATATATATTTTATATATCCAAATAAATATATAAGAAATGTGATATAGTTTGCTTAGACAATGCATTCTAAGAAAATTAAAAATGTGATAGAGTTTGGTTAGACAATTCATATCTTTAATTCCTTAATTTTAGCAAAAAATATATATAAATATATATATTGATTTATATGTACGATTTCTTATAATAATGTATAACACGGGTAGTGATTCAGACATTATATTAGAGATGGTTGTCTTCAATTATTATTATATGGAACTGTGGGAAGATACTTTCTTTTCCTCTCATATACTTTTGTTTTTCCTTTGGAAAGGAAAAATGTCTTTTTCCATAATTTAAGAAAAATCAAATAAATTTTAGACAGACCTTTTGAAGTTATAGTAGTGATGGGCTTAAATTATTTTCATGTGGGAAAAATGGCAAGAAGATTGTTTTTTTCTCACTTATTACTGCTATTTTCCTTTGTTTAGTTAATATTTTTCTATAGAATTCAAGAAAATCATGCAGTTTTGGGCTAAAAGTTGAAACATTCTGAAAGCAGGTTGAAGAAGGATGCCAACTCAGTTCAGTAGATGATATAGCAGGTGCAGTTCACCACATGCTGAGAATAATTGAGGAAGATACAACTGCCTTATATTGATCAACTTAAAATACCCTCTGGTTCATATTGAAATCACCCACCTTTTCTTCATTGTTTAGGGTTTTTTTTAGTGGGTGGGTGGGTTTGTTTGTCAAGTTTCTGCATTTTTAGTTTTTATTGCTATTTTCTCCTGTTTGTAGCTTGAGTCAATTAAAAGTGTGTTTTGAGTTTTTCATAGGCATGATTTATCATCAGGATGTTCATCTGGTAAATTATATATGTAGGATGTTTATTGGGAGTGTGTGAAATAGAAACTTTATCACTACTTTTTTTTTCCTTTAAATGTCAATGGGATGTTGAGATCCTATGCATGATTATAACATGACTTATTTTGCACATGAACATGCCGGCATGCATCTACCCTCTCCTAATTAACCACACTTGTCTACAGGTTGTTTAGAGTTCCTGATTAAATTTTAGGTTCATAAGATATGATCTATTTCCCAATTAGTCCCCCCAAAAGTATTGCAATCGAAAATTCGCAAGAAAATGAAGCTATTACTAGCTAGGTTTATTCCAGAAATTAACTTGGTGCCAGACAAGAAAATAATATTCTTTTGTGTGATATATAGTATGACCTGTAAAACTACTAAAATTCTTAGCATCCGATGAACATATATCTCTATGTTCTTCAAGAATATTGATACATAACTTAATGTTTACCCCTGGAAAACTATATTACATTAAAATCTAACTACCATTTTAAATTGTATGTACTAATTTATTGAATAGATATTTCAGCAGACAGGCCATTTTCACTCATATATATGTTGTAGTAAAAAATTGGCAGTGAAACACCGTACTGGGAAAAAAAACTCCGAAGCCTGTTGTTTTTGTTTCAACACTTTCGTAAGAAAATCCAAGAACGTACAAGCACTTGATTGGCTGGTTTAATGATGTCTCAATATATCTTGTACAGGAAACAAATTTACATTTCTACTGGTTTTGATGATGAAGAAAAATGGAAGGTTAACATAGCAGAAGTTGGTGCAAGGGGCATTGGAAAAAGTGATAGTTTTACAATATCAGAGAAAGAAAAAGCTGAGAGTTAGAGGGCTTTGTTTTGTTATTTGTGGGATCGATGCATCAATCCCTCATTTCAGCCTTCATTTTTGTTTCTTTGTGTAAGCATGAACCTGTAGCCCTCATTATGACTTATGTCTCCTTGCATAAACCAGACAGGCATGTCGGAGCAATCTTTACATCTCTTTTAATTTGTGAATCCAGGACAGCAATAATATATATATATATATATATATATATATATATACATTCGCTAACAGTAAAGATATATTGATAAGTGTCTAACTTTTAGTTTCGATAATCAAAGTTTAATCTCCCAATCTATTACATTGCATTACCTTACTGTTTGTATTTCATTTGTAAAAATTTCAGAAAAAGGTATCTTATTCAAGCATTGGTCTCCCCCACTACGTTTTTAGCCACCATTTTAGTAGGAAACATTTTTCATACAGCTTTTCTTTGCACATTTCAATTGCAACCTTAATGGCAAAACAAACCAAAATTTTTATTCTCTTGTGTTTCATCCATTACCTTTTTGATTATTAGTAAAGGCTACAGCCACGTGTAAATTACACTCTTTCCTTATCTGTTGTTGCAAAATTTGAGTACGCTTTTGCTACTTTGCTGGTCTGTTACAACATTGCATGTAATCAACAAATATGTATGCAGGAGCCGTACATAATTATCATGCCAATTGAAATAAGTCTAGCTTTTGGGCATTAAACTAGCCCAGCAATGCGTCTATGGACTTGGCAAGTTTTGTTCCAAAAGCCCCATTTTCTGGTCCGTAAAAGAGCCTATTAGGTCGAAGCTTTTGTAAACTTTTCTGAGCCTGTTCAATTTCCTTTTGGGCATGGATTTTCATTCCTGATTCATAATTCAGCCCAAGAAAACAGAAAAAAAGGCTGAATTCTTACTTGAGCCAGAGGAACAAACAGTTCTTAAACCCATTTTCTATTGGACTGCGTCTTGGTCTGAGCTCAAGATCCTTTTGCTTATTATTAAAACACAAATCCGATCAACGTGGGCTCTATCAGTCTCAAAACTAAGAATGAGATGAATATAGGCTCATTCATAGGGTCGGATTTCCTTTAATAAAAAATAATTTTTGTATGGTGGAAGGAAGTCCCACATGTTGACGCTGTCCAATTTTGGAATCATAGCATAAAGCAGGGGCGACTGCAGAGGGGACCCATCCGTTAAGTTGAATTATTTTGTAGGCCAATTTTGAATTTCCATCACATTTACATTGTACGGCGGTAGAACAATTAGGACCATTACCTTGTTCAGCAAAACCTAGCTTTGGATTAATATATATATATATATACGTATATATATGGAAAGATTAAATATAAATAATAACTACAAAAATTTCTTATATATAAGAACAAAATTAAAAAGGACAATTTATGTGTACAAAATATTGTCCATATATATATATATACATATTTGTTTATTGTAAATTTGGGGGTAAAAGGACTTAGGCAAGAGAGATGCCTTCTTGGCTACCATCAAACCAAAGGTTAGGAAAGAAATTTTGTAATAAAGCTACATGGTGTATGGACATCATGATATACATATATGATAATAGATAGAATGTGGAAACAAATTGTTATCAGGAAGTAGAAGCAATTGGGAGAAGAAAGAAAATTAGTAACAAATTACACATGTTTTTCTCCGATCTAATAATTAAACGAACCAGAGAAATGACGAAAGTTCAAAAAAACATTGAGATATCTAATTTTGATTTCACAGGTAGATCATAGTTCTCACACTGAGGCTATCTTGGTATCTATTACAAATTACACATATAAATCTGCTATGAATATGATCAAAAGTATATATTCAGAGAGAGATAGTTGGATCTCTTACTCTTCCTTGCCTGGTAAGAAAAAACCTACCACTCGAAAAGGATCTCTTCATTGCAGCAGGGTTCATTACACAGTACTGCAAGACCCTTAATTTGTTGCTAACCTTACTGCCTTCAGCTGGTTGTTTTGACGATCCAGCAATACCTGATGATAAGTGGAACTCTTCAACTTTAGTGTCTTCCTCTTGATTCATAGGCAAAATATCAGCAACTGATCGTTGGGTTTGACAGAAATGATCCATTGAAACTGATCTTCTCATCTGTTGATAACCTTCTTCTCCAATCTCAATTACGGTATCTCTTCCTTGCACGTCGCCAAGATCGCTCTGAACTCTGTTCACCTCCTGCACAGTCCTCCTCCTTCCTGTTTCTTGTGCAGCGGCTACATTTTCATTTGTCACAGGTTGCCTATCCTGCAAAGATTCATTGCCTGGAGGACTTTCTGTCACTGGAGTTGGCAATGGAAGTGGTGAAACACTAATAAAGATTATATTAGCACGACACAAAGGGCAGTTTGAGTGAGACCTAAGCCATGTATCAATGCAATGTACATGGAAAGCATGACTACATTTAGGCAAGAGCCTTAAACTGTCATCTTCTTGGAACTCACTGAGGCAAACAGAGCAATCTGTTCCTTCAATCAAGCAGTCACCCTTTTTGTATTTGCAAACTGTAATGGACTTGATCAGAGCCTCATCCAAACCGGTGGTTGAAGTCTGCCATGGCTCATGGGTGGATGGGTTGTGATTGTCTTCCAAAACTTCACTAGTGTCAGGATTCTCTCTTCTCCTAGTCGAGTCCGGGTTCCCACAATATTTAGATATTATTGTATAGTAACTTACTAGAAGAAAAGCACTGGCCAGAATGCCCAAGATTGCAATCACCAGAGGGGAGAAATTTGGGCCTGAATCATCATCAGGGAATTCTATGGGAGGTGGAGGAGGGAAGATGATGTAGCACCATTGGGGACAATACCAGCTACAAAAACCTTGTGAACAGTCTTTGGTGTTCATGTATGGCACCCAGGTTCTTGGGTTACCAATAGACCCCATGACAAATTAAAAAAAAAAAAATCTACAGAATTAAACTTACAACAACTTCTAACATAATTATATGATGAGGAAAGATAACAATTTAGATCATTGGCATCCAAACCCTTAGACAACAAAGACAAAAGCAGGAATAGCCCTTTAGACCGCCTAGTGAAACCACTGGAAATTTACAAAAACCTGTTTCTAGAGACTCTTCGGAAATAATAAGATCGTATAAATGTGTTACTGAAGAAAGATTCGAACAGCCACCTTATAAATAAAGCAAATAGGATGGCCTAAGGATATGGCTAGAATAGAAAGAACAAAATATAATGCATTGAAGGTTGGCACATGGGACACTACATGTGCAAAAAAATGCTAGCTCAGAACAGAATGTAAGCCAGTGAGGGGCTCTTGTAATGCAAATTTCTTGAAGAGACAAAGAAAGGGGCTTACATGGAAAGCAAAGACAGGAAAACCGGAAGAGAGGCACTAATGAGTATTCTCTTTTTCTTCTTTTTCTTTCCCTTCTTTTCCTTTCTTTTTTTCTCTTCTTTTGCCATCTTTATGAATGTGAGGATAATGATATGTTGACTAGGGGCGTGATGTTGGTTGGGAATTCATTAAAGTAATCAATTCTTTTATTATTGTCGAAGCCAGTTGCAGTTGAAGTGAATATATTGCATATTGCTCATTCTCTAAACAGATGGAACTGTGGAAGATTGTGATGACTTTTAAATGTACTCCATAACTGTTAGTAAATTTGACTTAACCCAAAATTCGTAATGCCAGAATGAGCCGTCAGATTAGGTGTACCAGATGGAAGTTCATGAATTTAAAAACTTACTGTTTTTTTGGAATTAAGGAAAGTTATAATCTAGCTTTTTGCCATGAAAGAATTTCTGCCTGAATCATGAAAAGACATGTCACTGTCTCACAAGGTTGGCCATAAGACCAAATATTTGCAAGGGTTTGGGGTCAATATATTCTTTGTTTGCATCTTTTTATTTTTTGACCTTGGTGAAATATGAATCTCTATGTATAGACTTGGCATGTTTTAATAGCCTTTTCATTGTTAGATTATAATGGAAAAGGGCAGAGAATATAAAAAAGTAGGAATATTAGCAGGGACACTAGACAAAATTATCCCAAGAAAATAAAACTTAATGCTCCATTGTCAATTCTTAATTCATCAAATTGCAGCAGTGGGGGCCTCAGAAAATGGTCTGAGCATATGTTCTCCCACATCACATAATTCAAGTGGCCACATCTTTTCCTTGTCATTGAAGCAAGGGACTTTGATTTCCTTACTGCAAGACTAAAAAGAGCAAATAAAAGAAAACAGGAACTCAAGCAACACCTAGAATGTTTAATCAACAAGTGACACAAAAAATTATTTTCCAGGTAGCCGATTCTGAGATATGAAATGACTTTCTTTACAAGGTAACGTTGTTCTCAAAACCTAAAAAAATACAGTAGATCAATGGAATTAGGCAGTTTTAGTCAATGATAGAAGCTTTCTTTATTCAAGTGTGATGACCAAGAAACATCTTTCCCTCTAACCAAACAACTTAGTTGTTTACCTTTTCTCTTCTTTTCATTTTTTCTTTTTCCAAAGTCACGCCAATCCTCTAAACCCTTAGTGAACTATAACACTGACCTATTAACTTTAATGGTCTTTGCCTCCTATCTTTTTTGCACATTCCAGAGCCCCATTTATATAAACTACAGATAATCTTAAGCAACCAAAGAAAGTAGGGCCAGTGTCTCACCAATCCGTCAAAAATTATTAGTTTGTAAAAGCAGCAGCAGGCAATGAAAATTGATATATGGCCACGTTAGGGAGAGTGGTTTGAGATAGCATAAAATTCCAATTAACTAAGAGGAGAAAATGTAGTTTAAATTAATCATATCGAATCATCAAAATTTGAAAAGCATAAGATCATATCAAATCATCAAATTTATGTTATAAAACGTTTCTGATAAATATGTAATCATAAGAACAAGAATAAATACTACTAATAATAAGATATTAATTACGACTTCGAATATAGATTTCTTTCTCTGTTTAAAGGATAGATATGGATATATTTAGCAAGATCATGTTCCATAATCCACAATAGAATCAAATAGCTAAAATAAAAGATAACATAAGAGTAAAACTACCATTTCATAAATTACATTGTCAAAGCAATCACGAATTTCTTTTCTACCCTGTTATTGATCTTTAATGGAAGAAACAAGTGGAGACTTTACTGTGGGCGCAAGAATATGCAAAGTGTAAAATCCATTAGTAGAGTGAATGATGAACTTTTGCTTGCAAGTTAACAGAATGTGGACTTGCTTATTCCTGCAGAATTCAGCATTCAATGGCTTCTGGTGCACCACTTTGTTATAATATATAGCCGCAGCAATGAATTTATGATCCCTAGTCGTCTGGAAACAATTAAGATTGAGTCTTTGAAGAAAAACAGAGAATTAAATGTTGATATGAGGACATCTGCTTTTACAACTCACTGAAATAAATTTCCTGACCTCCACACAGTTATTAACATCATCTTGCTTAGAACTGATTGCTTTCTAGCTTTAAAACAGATGAAAAAAATCAGCTACCCGATTATAGCTTACATTATTCGCTTCTTTTAAGGCCTGTAATCAAACACCACCTAACCAAACATCTAAAAGTTTTCATTTCTTTGATTCATTCAGACAACACCATAGGAACTCGTACTCAAGATCTCAAGCTGGGGTCCAAGCATTTTCCACAACTATATATGCATTTCACCAGTCAAAACATAGGTCTATGTCAACTGTGATCTTTGTATTCATATATTGCATAATTAAGCTAAAACGGTAGAGGCTGAACGTAAAAATAAAGAGAAGGTTTCAAGGCCTTTGTTCATATACTACACAAATCCACATTGGCATAGATAATGGGCAATAAAGAGAAGGTTTCAAGGCTATTGTTCATGAACCTTTATGGCACGAAATTATGCACACAGTTCACAAGCATAGAAAGAGGTTAATATCCTATATATATCCTACCTTATAATTTCTGCAACATTAGTACAAATTAAAATTTCACAGATTAATATGACCTTGGTAATCCAGGAGCCAAAAGCAACTTGAGAGGAATTTCCGTGGAATCTGCAATCAAAAGGCGAGAGATTTACCAAACTCTGTTGAATTGTGAAGAAAGAAAGATACAGTATACAAATGAAATGGGAAGAATTATTAGGTGAATTTAAGCTGACTATAGGCACCAGCCGCCTACAATAAGAGGAAGTAAACACTGTGTTCTCATCCCAAGACATCAGCTGGTAAATGGAAACTTAAAAATAAATAAAATATATTAGAAACCTTAACAGAGAAAATTTGCAGGTGACATAGAGGATTACGGTTTCATTATTCCAAAAATCGGATGGATCTTGACTGAAGAATCCACAACAAGAAAAACTTTGACAAAAACTGATCTTACATAATAAGTACTAAATCAATCAATCATACACAATAATAATTCCCATCATAATAATTTCCATCGATATTAATTGAATACAGGTAATATGAATAATCAGTTATACAAAAATTTATTAAGGCACGAACAAAAGGAAAAAATTTTCTGATTTGAGTATCATTTGTTCACTAATCTGAAAAAGATGGAGAGAGATGAGGCCCAATCGAAGATCTAAGACCCTTCAGTTTGACCATCAGGCTCCTTTTCCTCCGTCTTTTCATCTCCAGTTTCATCAACTTTCTTTTCACTGATTTTTAAACGTAGTGGCTGATCCATCAATTCCTGCAAAATGAAGAACAATTGAATTTACGACAATGTGTTTTCAGTCAAGCTGATATATAAAGAAACTTATGGAGAAATTATTCATCAACAAATTGCATAAATACTTAAAATCAAAAGTAACAAAGAATAAATTTACAATTTAAATCCACATAAAGCTTTCACAAGCTATTTGACATTTAAAATTCGTAGCAATATTCTCACGATTCTCGACTTTAAAGTTAACATTTCTTCACTGCTTGTCGTTGTTGTATGTTAAATCAGCTAGTAAAACACTTGTATTAAGAGGGAAGGATTCATGTTTAGACCTGATACTTAAAAGGAGATGTATAGCAATTAGCAAGAATTGAAACAAGGGGGCAGTTGAGACTTGAATGAGGGAACAAAAATAAATAGGAGTCAGGAATGCATTACCGTGACTATAGAGACAAGTTTTTGTGAACAAAAATGTAGAACATTTTATAAATTGAAAGGAACATCAAACTTATGTCGTAGACAATCTCAAAATAAAAAAGAGTTCTAGTCAGTAATCAACTTCATATGCCCCAACACCAATGCAGTAAGTCTAGTAACCATATTAACCAACACTTATGGTCTATGGATAGTGATCTCTAAGCAGAGGCAAAAAACAGTGCAAAATGATGCAAAGTGCAAAAAATATAGAATACATTTGATTACCTTCCCATTTAGAGTAGAAATTGCAGCATCAGCTTACTCCTTTGTGGCAAATGAAAGAAAGCCATAACCAGCAGACTGCCCTGAAGAGGTACCAAAAACAACTCTAGCTGAAACTGGGTTAAAGGCAAAGAAAAATTCTCTGAGATGATTCGACCAGACTTTCCAAGCAAGATTCGACACATAAAGCTTATGGTGCGTCTCACGAGAAGGAACAATTCGCTGAGAAGAAGGTGATGAAGGTCTCTTGAATCTCCTTGCAAACTCTAACCTTATTATTCTCCCATTTTTTTGCCTTATAATCTGAAAATAATCCACATAGCAAAAAACCCATATAAAAAATCATCACAAAAAATTAAAAAATTAAAAATAAAAATAGAATTCTTTAAAAAAAAAAAAAAGAAGCCTATAGTTTTATAAAGAAAGAATGAACCTCGACATCTTTAACGCTCCCACATTGGCCAAAAAGATCTTTGATATCAGCAACCGTAAAACCCATGGCAAATTCAACACAAAAAGATTTCTTTTCACATTTGATTTCTGGGTTTTCTCTGTTTCAGTTTCTACGCCTACTTCTTGCACGGTAGGGAGGAGTAGAACACCCAGCTTTTTTCGGGTGCTGATTAATGGAGAGATTGAGAAATTGTGGGAAAGGACAGGGTTAGACATGGAAATGTGGGAAGTTAGGGAAGAGTCTTGTGGGTCTGGGACATGAGAGAGTTTGGAACATGAAGTGTAGCGTGGAAAGGAGAATGCTGCTCCTGCTTCGACGGCTGCCACTGTTTTTGAGTTTTTCAGTAAACAGCAAAGATTTCGAATTTCTTATTCAAATTGCAAAAGATTTCAACTTTGAAGAAGTGGATAAGAGATTTTATTTGGCGGGTTAACATGGTCAATTTTTTTTCTGTTTTTTTTTTTTAAATACTATGAGTACTATTTGAGAAAAAAAATGGAAATTACATAAACTAAGGGAAAATGACAATAGGAAAAAAGGAAGAAACTTGAACACTATTAATTTTCTCTCACATTTCCTCTTTTCCTTATTCAGTTATCAGCCCTTAAGTTGATTAATTTTTCTGAATTAAACAAAAAACATTTACAGTATTTTCCAGCAAAGCTGAAATGCTGAAACTTCAAAGCCTCAACGCAGGATTGCTGCAGCTGCAATAGTAATAAGTCCTGAGTCCCGATATGAAGAGAAGTCAATAGGACGACTAGGGGAAATAGAATGTTAATGAAACTTATTTTGTATTTTGTAAGATTTTTGAGTTCTTATTCTAAAATTTGCTTGGGGTTGAGGTTTAATTTATCATAATAAAATCATTGTTAAGCCCAAATCCTTTCTAATAGAGGGAGGATCACCAACTATCAAACGCATAAGTTACCGTTTCAAATAGGCCCCTCCATTGTTAACCGTCTGGATACGACCATGCTCAGCCCAACTTAACTAATGGGCACTGGCTATTCATTCTAGCCCCAGTCTAACCCAATCGACACTTTACATGCGATAACATAACTGAGAGAGTTGACAAAATTACAATATAATCTCTGCTTGCAAGTCATTGCATCATGTTATCTTCTATGATGCAATAAGGAATAAGAATATGAAATTTGGCTGAATCAGAAAGCATGGTGTGTCTCTTCTACAAGTCTTGAAACGAATTCGAAGTTGCAAGAAAGAAGCAAAGCTTAAAGGAGGCAAAGCACAATCTAAAGAAGGTTTAAGCCCAAGGCATTCGGGACATAATATAACTGTCTTCTTTCTAGTGTATTTTCTCGGGGTTCTTTTCTTTTCCCTTGATAAATGCAAAAGTTGTGGACAACCAATCACTCCTGTTTCTTTTTCTTCCCACTGTACAACCTATTCCTTTTCAAAAAGTGGTACTCAAAGTGATTAGACTTGAAGACTTATATACACTTTAAAAAATTGTTATCAATTGCTTTGCTTTAGTAACTTTCATGGATCCAGCGCAAAGAACAAAAACTTGGGGGCTCGCATGACAGAAGCTCTATCGGGTACCCATTTTTTCAACACGTATTTCTTTACTCGAGGCAATTTCCTTTTCTTTTCATTATTAGATATATTTTTGTTTTTTGGAGAGTTTTTCAATATTATTAGATCTCAGGGCAAGAAACAATACCCAGATTGGTCTTCACAGAATAATTTTCCAAACTGAATGGCATTAAGCAACAATGTCATCGGTGCAGTCAACTTTGTTGCCATGCTGCTCTCAATTCCAATCATTGGTGCTGGAATCTGGCTTGCAAATCAACCAGACAATTCTTGCGTGAAGATATTACAATGGCCTGTTATAGTATTGGGAGTCTTAATCTTGGTTGTAGCTCTAGCAGGCTTTATAGGAGGGTTTTGGCGCATCCCCTGGCTCCTTATTGCTTACCTTGTGGGCATGCTCATCCTCATCATATTGCTTGCATGCTTGGTTGTTTTCATCTATGTGGTTACCATTAGAGGTTCAGGCCACCTTGCACCTAGTCGGGCATACTTGGAATATCATCTGGAAGATTTCTCAGGCTGGCTTCAACGAAGAGTCAGAAGTTCTTACAAGTGGGAAAGGATAAAAGCCTGTCTCAGCTCAACAGAGATGTGTGCCCAACTGAACCAGAGTTATACAATGGCTATCGATTTCTTTAATTCTCATCTAACTCCTATAGAGGTAAATCTCAGTTTTTTTGCTTAGTTTCAAATTCCCTACATCTCAATGCCGAATGTGGAGTTCTATATTTTTCCATAAATACCTTGAAGTGGTTATATGTTTATTTTTCCTTCAGTTTAAAATCTTCTGAAATTTCTCCTGTTAGTCTTTTTACGAATAAAGCAAATTTCAGCTTCTTAAAATTACTTCAACCATTGTTTTGGAAAAGAATAAGAAAGTTTATGAGGTATGTCAAGGCATAAATCCTTGTTTATTGCAAGAAAAGAATATGAGAGCTATGCCATTTTCTTGTCAGAATTCTTGAAATCCTCTTCTGGGATCGAATTTTTTCCCTAATCATGCTTAACAATATTCTAAGACCAAGTTTTCTAAGAATTAGGCATGCATGGTAAGGTAATTAGATTCTGCAACCATGTGTTAAATCTCTTTTAGTCTTTTCTAAAGTATTATCATCTTTATCTTTATTCTTTGTGCTTTTTCTTTACAGTCTGGATGCTGTAAACCACCTACCGAATGTGGATATACGTTTGTAAATCCAACATACTGGATCAGCCCCATTAACAACATAGCAGACCCGGATTGCATACAGTGGAACAATGACCAAACGGAACTCTGCTACAATTGTAATTCGTGCAAAGCAGGATTACTTGCAAATCTGAAGCAAGAATGGAGAAAAGCCGATATAATACTGCTTGTAACTCTTATTGCTTTGATAAGTGTATATTTGATAGGGTGTTGTGCCTTTAGGAATGCCAAAACCGAGGACATATTTAGAAGATACAAACAAGGTTATACGTGAGAAGTAATTAATAGTAAGTTGGTCGCGGTGCAATTGGGGCTGGTTTGTATGCAGTTTTGATTTTGTGACTTTGTATAAGCAGATATTTTCCTTATTTAAATTTAGTTGAAAACTGTGTTGGTACTGAATGTTTTCATTACAGGGTAGAAATTTGTGTAAAAGCTGGCAGTGATGAGCTGTGTGCAATATGCGGGTGGCACCGAAAATATCTATTGCTTTTACTGTCAATCAGAACTTGGACTTTGAGGGTGGGGTTCATGACAAATTGTAAATCACTGTCTGACAATATATAGAAAATGTCTGGATTTCGATGACAAAACTAAGAAATGGGTCATAGGGTCTTGGCACGGATCTCCATCACTTCTGCCTCTGTGCAGGTAAATCTTAGTAGCTAATGTTGAAAATTAAACAAGATTAGTTCTCCAGGAAAGCATGAAGCGTGAATTGGGGGGCAGAAGCCTGAAATACCGGTTTTGGAATTTGGAAAATAGAGTAAAGACTAACCAAACAATATCAGTATAGCCGAAAGTGATACTCGTCCGAGATACAATACCACCAAATGATCTTCAGTAAAATGCTGAGCAGTTCTAAATATCACCCACCTCTTCCTATTTCGGTATTTCCCCATGCATATTATACGATCTTTTGCCTTCTATTTGTTTTCAGAACATTTCTGCATGTCCAAACCATATTCATTTAAAACCCACTTTTCAGAACCATCCTAACGTAATTTAAACTATCGACAAATATTTTTACCTGCTCGAGAACTATAAATATGTTTGGTTTTTGTTCCCCTGTTCTAATCCAATTAAAGAATAATAATTCCCCACAACCGAAGCATTTGACCCTAGAGAGATATTTTACATTGCTATACTTCAGTATCTTACTTCAGAGATTTGGCAAATCAGGTATTCCAGTTTGAGTCACTTGCAAACAAGTCATTTGATCAGATGCAATTTTTTCAGGTTGTGAGGAAATTATGCTTGGTTAGAACTGAAAATTAATACAATCCCGATTGAAAATGTACAACAGGGAAATTGAAGCTCATTCTTTCCAAAGAAGGGATTCAATTCATCGTGATTCGTGCCCCTTTAGCGGGCCTAAAATTGGAAAATATAGCCCCATCGTCGTCAATATATTCTTCATTATTTCTGTTCCCATATATTCCTGCTCTAAGCTATTCCACTTCCTGTTCGCAATTAGAATTAGACCGCGGACAACAAACTATCCCCAGAAAGATCCTCTCAGAATCCTCTCTCTCCAAGATGGCAGCAAACAACACCATCGTTGGTACAATCAACTTCATCACCTTGCTTCTCTCAATTCCAATCATTGGTGCTGGAATTTGGCTCGCTAACGAACCAGACAATTCTTGCGTGAAGATTTTGCAATGGCCTCTTATAATTCTAGGAATGTCAATCTCCATTGTGGCTCTATTAGGTTTCGTAGGAGGGTGTTGGCGCATCAATTGGCTCCTCATCTTTTACCTTGTTGCAATGTTCATCCTTATAGTACTGTTTGCATGTTTGGTTGTTTTAATATATGTGATCACCAACACCGGTTCTGGGCACCCTGCACCTGGTCGCACATACTTGGAACATGACCTTGATGATTTTTCTGGTTGGCTTCGTCAAAAGGTCGTCAGTCCTTATAAGTGGAATCGGATAAGATCCTGCCTTAACTCAACGGATATGTGTTCTGAGTTAAACCAGAGATATCGGATAGCTCAGGATTTCTTCAATGCTCGGTTAACCTCTATACAGGTAAACATTATGATTTCATCTTTTTAAGTTCCGTTTGATTTTCGTTCATTTCATCTTAGATACGGAACTTGTAATGCATAAAAAGAAGTAAAGAATTAGACAAAGCAATGTAGTTTGATTCTCCAACCACGAAAAATTATTCTTTTTAACCTTTATTCATTTCTTCTTTTGGTCTTTTTACAGTATGGATGTTGTATGCCCCCAGCTGAATGTGGGTACACCTATATAAACCCAACCTATTGGCTGACTCCCAACAACACAGCAGCAAGTATGGATTGCTTGCAATGGAGCAATGAGCAGATGCAGCTTTGCTTCCATTGCGATTCATGCAAAGCTGGATTGCTTGCTAATTTGACCAAAGAATGGAGAAGGGTAGACATAATATTGTTCATAACTCTTGTTGTTTTGATATGCGTATATTTGATAGGATTTTGTTGTGCCTTCAGAAAATTTAAAACTGGAGATTCATCTCCAAGGCGCAACAAACAAAATACATAAGGCCTAGTACTAACTAGTTAGGAGCTACTTCTACTTTTTTTTCTTTTCTACATTAATGTAAAGTTGGAAGAGAGAGAAGAACTTGGAACATCTTTGCGTTATTCACGGAGGCACCGAAAGATGATGTTTTGTGGGGTTTCATCTCCAACTTTGTCTTTCTTCTCAATTAACAACTTTGTATTTTCTATGGCAAATTCTGAATAATGGTAAATTCAAAACAGATTTGGGCTGGGTTTTCATGTTTCTTCGCAAACCTGACCCCTAGTCGACTCAGTCTAGAACAGTAAAAGAGGTTTTGGACTTTCCATGTTTCATTACAAACTTTTACCCTGCTCAAACTCAACTCAACAGAAAGAGGCCGAAACTACATTTATGACCCATATTTATTCTTTATACGAATCGGATCTTTTAATTGAATTGGATCTAGAACCAGCCCAATCTCTACGGGCTTGGAACCTAGTGCTCAAAAACATTTCCAAACCAGTACATCTGCTCTCTCTCATTTCTTCGACTAGCACTAGAAAAATCCAATAAGCTGAATCTTTGGAACCTTTTTGAATAAGATATTGTCTGCTTCACATGGATAACAGCAATAATTATGTTCTTTTTTTCGCCCATTGTCCCAAGCCAAGGAAACAACAAGATTTCCCTCCAGTGGAGCATGTGCTGGATAGTTTGGTGTAAAGCATTCCTCATGCTTGTATTTGGCCATATGTCAGCGTCCCATTCATTCCAGAGAATTTACCAATGAATCATTCTATTTTGGACTTCAGGTTCCCGAAATGTTATGATCAAGAAGCAAAATTTCCAGATTCTAATAAAACTACTACTTTGATAACTTAAAGCTGTTCTATTAATGGACATTAAAGAATCAATGTCCGACAAAACGTTCGAGCAAGTCTGTTTCTTACAAGTCTAATGGTCACATCTACAGAAGGAAACTCAGAATTAGCGTTCAAATGAGATAAATTTTCTTTTCGAGTAGTCCTATGATCTCATCTTAAGTGGTCTAGGATTCTTAAACTAGAGAATTTATGAAGGTCACTGGTTGTCAAAGCTGATCGTCTAGCAAATTCTCATAGGAAAAATGTTATTCATGTCTGCCAAAATCCAGGCAATTACAGGGAACTTGACTCGTGTAAAGCCATTGTTGAAGGCTGAAGACTCGTCGTACGTACTAGCCAAATTGCACAAGCAAGAGGAAATTTCCTCGCCACAACTAGGTCTTCACGCGTAAGTTTGTTGTGGGGAGTGGGGGGCGGTTGGAAAGAAAGGACTGCTTTAAAATGGGTCAGTAAATAGACTCCAATTTTTAAGGCTTTCCAAACGTAAAACCATTTTAAAGGAGAAGCACGAGTTCATCAATGAAATGAACAAGCTGGTTGACTTTTACACCCCACTTTTCTTCCTTCAATTTCAGGTCAATATAAATGTGGCTGTAAATGAACGCTGGCATAAGTTGAACACGAATCAGGATACGAAGTTTCCATCCCTCCAAGTTGAGCTAGGCTCAGCCTTTTATGTTTTAAAACCAGAGATATTTTTGGTCCAGATGTGACTGGTCCTACTCCTTCCAATGGTTAAGGCTCACGCATGTCTAGAAATTAAGACAAAATCCAGTTATCACATGTTCAACAATGTCCTTGGTAGTTCACTACACCATCAAGAGAGTTATATTATAGATGTCTATTGTCCTAAATATTTAATAAATTTATATTTGATATATTTTAATATATAAATTTTATATATTATTAATGAATAAGATAATATTATTTTATTAATAAAAAAGTTTTTTTAAAAAATAAATTTTATGTATTTTATAAAAATTTATATTCAATCATTAATTAAATGGTATAATTTAATTCATTAATATTATATAAAATTTATATACTATAATATATTAAATATAAATTCATATTTAATATTAACAACAAACGCAATATGTCACATCGTACAATGTCCAATGAATAATGTAATTAGAGTTAATTACATATTTATGTATAACATAGGCCAAACGTTAATATAACAAAAGCATCAAGATCTTCTCGTATTTTCTTTTTCTCTTCTGGTAGGATTCCGTGCCTGAATAAACGGATTATGTTAAAATAACTAGTTATATGGATTACGGAGCATTGTTGAATACTGTTAAATCCATACACCAGGTTTGACATTAGATACACTAATTTAAGTCAGAGTTGACTTTTTTGTCCTTGTTTTGAAATCTGAATTAATTGTTCAACCGGCGCTTGCATTGAACTAGATTCATGTCTCCTCTGCAAGCAATATTGGACAGGCATCAATGAGGGGCTCTTCTAAAATTTGAAGTGAGGAAAAATCAACTGATTCGGAACTAATCAGAAGTAATGTCTTTTTAAATTATAAATTTATCTTTAACCTTTAATATTATGCATTTAAATTATCTTAAATTTTTAATTTTTAAAAATTTAATCAATATTCATGATATCACGATATCTAAAGTAATATTCTAAGTAATGTCTTTTTAAAAGTTAAGAATATGACATTGATATTTTTCGTCTATTAAATTCATTTTTGTTGGAATGATGAGAAATTGAATTAATTTTAATTCCTAACCACACATGTCAACAACAGGCTGCGTTGGGCAAGCACCCAAACTTCACAAAACAGGTTCGCTTACCTAAATCAAGCTTGTATAACATCAAAATTGATGACTATCTTAATCAAGATTCTCAATAAAAAAAGGTATAAATGGATGTATTGACATATATATATATATATATTAACAATTTGAAAACATTAGTATTCATATAGATATTGCCATAATCCTTGAGCTTGACCCCATCATACTCAAATGGGACAATTTATGGGAGATAACTCTTGCGGCCTCTTGTTGGTTAGATATTGCCACCCTAAAGCTAACCAATAATATCCCAAGTGCCTTAACAAGAACTGCAAGCCATCCTAATCTAAATAATGAAACACATCGGACTGTTCCTCAAGATCACATAAAATTCCAAAGGAGGAGTTTTCATTTAGAGGGGAGGTCCCTCCAAGTTGGGTTCCATAACTGATGATTGAAAAAATGTGACCCCAACCCCAGACACTGTAGGGTAGCTCCGGCATTTCATAAAGGTGCCTCGCATTCGTTCTTATCCACTCAATAAACATCTTCTTGGCCTTTGACCAAAAATAAAAATTTAGGGTTGGCCCATATTTTTCAGGGATGGAGACCCACAATATCTAAATCTGTCACGAGGAAATGCAAATCTGGTGGGCAGTAGGTAAATATTATTATTGTTTTAGAATTACGAATGTTCTTACACTAGTATCCTCGTCCAAGATTAGCGAAATTGATGTGCTTGTCTTGATCAACATGATGATATTAGGTTTCCTGAAATTTGAAGAGAGATATATTTTTAATTCTAATAATCAAAGTTCAAGAGATCTTTCGTTTTGTCATGCCTTGACTGAACCCGGTCCACTTCTCTTTCAGCAATGTTTATTTTTTCAATTTATTTCTTTCAGAAGCATATCTTCAATAATTTTGATTCAAATAACGGTTTCTCGCTTTTTCCATTGATTACTGATTTATTAGATAGATTCGACTAACCTGTAATCTCCAATAATATTGAATGAAAGACTGACAAAACAACTTGGGGAGATTTTCACTTAGGTTAATTACTACTTGCTACAGCACATTTTAAAAGTACAAAATTCAGATATTTGAATTAAATGGCACCCAAAAAAATCACAAACGTATAGTAGTCAGCAAAGTAATGCATATCAATGTCAGCTGAACTAAGATATATATACTTATATATATCTATAACATGTTCGGTATTATTGTTTTCTAGAGAAAATGAAGTAATATTTTGTTGAACTGAAAAAGGACAAAAATGAACCAATCAATATGAATGAATAGGATGCTTATCGACCCAAAATTGGGAGATGACAAAAAATATAAAATAAGATCATCGTCATCATCATAGTGTGGGCACCGATAAGAATGATAGATGCCTATCTTCTCTACATCAAATAAGGGTTAGTAAACTAAATGACGTCATGGCTTAGGCAAATTGATTAAGATAGGGGTCCATATCTCCATATTCACTTATAGGAACACCCGATTTCATGTGTATTTTATTGCATTGAAGGCAAGTGATGAAAGGGTGCAAAATCAAAAAGCATAATGTATAGCATCATAGATCATGCATTTCTTATGTATACCATAGAAGGTTTAGGAAGTTATTTTCGCGACTATTTCTTTATTATTTGAAGCATAAAAAGGGGGGGGGGGGGGCGAGTGATGGGCATTTCATATCAAAGGCAACATCGATCGAATTAATTCAAAAAGATAGCCTGAGTGATATCCCCGTTCGCCACTTCCTTTTCAAGTTTCCTAATCGTGATATCCTACGAGGCCAGCACTACGAAAGCCACTAAGACATATATATATATATATATATATATATATCTATGAATTAAGATGAAATTAATCATAAATTTGATTCTTTTGCTTCATCAGATCATGAATGAAGCTTGCTAATTTGTCGATTTATTCTTTATATACATTCGGTATGATTTTGGGTTAAGAGGCTCCATTTTCTAAATAATGATTTGATTCTAATCAATTATGAGGTTAGGTTATATCTTTTCTTTTGATGGTCAGTTACATAGAAAAGGTCCATTGGAAATGGACTGCATGTTTTTAGTGCATAAACAGCAGTTTCATATGATTTTAATCATGGGTTTATGTCACATGGTCTGAACCACAAGATCAGCCAAGGCTGCCAAGTGGAAATCACAGTAAGCCTTCAAGTGCAAACAATACTACGAGACTGCCGGTTCAGTTCCGGCACCAAAATGCATGATCTTCCATTAATATTATCTGGCCAGAGCAATGTTGTTGCATAAGGAGAAAGAAGAGATTAGTAAACTTAACACTAACATAGCTCGTGCCATATTAATATGCCATTAAACAATTAGATTAGCTGATTGGGAAGTGGGGAGGGCCTACTGGCCAAGTTGGAGAATGAATATTTGAATTTCTGTCATAAACTTAAAAGCATTGTACCTTCGATTCCAGCGAAGGTGGCTAACAGTTTGGCAAAACTACCAAATTTGAGAGTGTGACAACTAAATCAAAGCATAGGATGAAAGGTTCCATATATCTTAAGATTTGAATTTTGATGCCTCCATAATCATTTATTTGTTGAAAAATACTAGTGTTAGTGCTGTAACTTTTACTCTTCTTGATGTGATAATAATTTATTAAAGTATGATATATCATTTATGAATCAATCAATTAATTAATTAAATTTAAATTTATCTAATAATTATATATCATATAAGAAGCACAATTATTTGAGACTGAAATTATGAAACAATCAACAAATATTTTTATATCATCATGTTTTTTTAAATTTAGGGGTCAAAGTTAATACTTCATTTTATAAAATTTAAATTTAATTTTCGTTACCAGTAGTTTTATTTTATACAAATCGTCACTAAAAATATGTGAAATATTCGAATCAAAGAAAAAAAATTTATTTCTTTTAAAGAAAAGTGTGTGAGTGCTAACGGCAGGTGCACCGCATGGAAGAGTCACGTGTCAAACAGAGTTTTAACCACGTAAATTTTATGACACTTTGCAGATATTTACTTATTTTTATTATTTACACTTTTTTTTTTCAAATTTTTGTGAACGTGAAAAGCCAGTCAAAGGAAAAAATGGGCGGTAGAAAAGAACAACTACAGGCCTTTAACTGCCCTGAACTCACAGGTTTTGCAGCTCTTTCAGGGGACAGCCGAACCTTGTTCTGTATCTTTTTCTTCTCCTAATCTCGAATTACCAACGTGTTTTCATTTTTCTCTTTTGATTGGAGTAATTAGTAAATTTATAAATCGTTTAACAATAAGATAAATTACATAAAATCATTTTATGATTTGAATTGTTTTAAAAATTATTTGAACTTTGTCTTAAATTATAAGATAATTTTATGTAATTTATTTTTAATAATAAAGATCGATCCCAATATTAGATAAACTTAATCAATAGTGTTGACAGATTTATAAATTATTAAATGCAAAAATGGCACGAAAAATCCACTACTGCCCCGACGTCATACCATACATCAAATGCCAGCCATTAATATCCTTATAAAAGTTAACCGCAGACGCTACTGACATGTGGTCACAATAATCACCAAATATTCAATTTGTGAGGGCCCACCCTCAACTTACTAAATCGTAAATTCATGTCTTCAACTCTTTCAGAGCCCATCATCGAAGCATACTCAACACTGTAACAAGATCAACGGTCACGACTGAACCACAGTTTGGGGCCCCACAATGTATGGAGAAGGAAAAAACCCACTACGCTAAGAAACCAAAAACCAAAAACCGAACCGCCTTTCTGACACATCACAAACAAAAAAAATGAAAAGAAAAACACAGTCCGCCAAGGGGCGGCTGACCTACTTAATGATTCGAGGAATCAAGACACCCAAACCCAACAACCATTGCACATTGGACACGTGCGAAACTAAACATCCCTAAAAATTGAAAACCCCATTTCACACGTTCCACACACCCCAACACCATAAACGGGACCGGGAAGTTTTGGAAGACAATCACCGCCATTCATAACCAAAAAGAACACAAAAACCTTCCAAAAATGGACAGCAATCAATCATACAACATACAAAGTAAAATCTTATTATTTCATTCCTTATACAAACATCCCTTCCCTTCTCCTATAATAAGGGAGTACATTTTTTTTCACTACCCTTTTACCTAAAACCAGAAAAACCCAATTTACATCTTTGATTCCCCATTAATATATGGCAAAAAAAAAAAAAAAAACTTACGTATAATCACCCTACAAACGCAAGCCACCCTATTTTATCTTATAAAAACTGAAAAAAAAAAAAGAGTAGCATTCAAGTCCTTAACATATGGGGTCTTATGTTTCTATTATTTGTTTTGCTGCTTCTATTTACAAGATACTGGAGGTGGGTTGGGGGAGTGACAATGCCGGCTTTTTCCATAGGGCATTGTGACGATGGCTTTGTATCTATTGGGCAAAAGTAGGGTAAAATATATTTTGACTTGAGAAGAAAGGGGAGAAAGCACTATGGCTATGGCTAATATTCTATGATTAGTCCTCCCATTGGGGATCGGTGGGGAATGCCCTTTCTACGTTTGGCAGTTCGGTAATTAACCGAAGTCGGAGGGGGTGTTGAAGGAATGAAGCTCTGCACTTTGTTGTTATTGTTGTTTTCTTTATTGTTGTTCTTCAGCTTTCCATGGCTACTGCTGCTGTATGAATCCTCGGAGTCTGATGCCATGGCCAAGTGCCTCTTCTTCTTCTGGAAATTCTTTGATGTGCCAACAATCTGCTGGTCAATTACCAAATTGGATTAGAAATTTACAGCAATCAGAATTTGACCAAAAACACATTCAAACTTGTTCATGGCTCTTTGGGGTCAAAACAAATTAAACTGCATTATCGTTGATTTCAAGGACAATTAAAAATTGAATAATGAACAACCAAGAAAAAACCCATTTGAATTAGATAAATTCTTGAGAAACACTATTGTTTCACATTGCCTCTCCTGGCTACTTCCCAACGCAATGAAATAAAAGTCAACATAATTTCACCAAACGAAATTAATCTAATTTGACCATTTTGGTTTTTGCTTGGAAAACTTAAACCTTCAAAGATCATACAGTTTATCAGCAACCAAACAGCACCATTGACTACCAAGAAAATTAAGTTGAAAAAAAATTGTAGAAGAACATAGGTTTTACCTTGCAACCAAGGGAGCAGAAGCGGAAGGAATCCACGAGGCTTCGGTCACAGACCTCACAGGTGTTTGTGACACCTTTTCCAGGCCTTGGCTGTGGCCTCTCATTGATGAAAACAACCTTAGCACTGTTAATAACATAAGTTTGAACTCCAGATATGTCGAGGTATTTCTGTATCTCAGATACCCTTATCACATCATGGTATGAAGACCTCCTGATCTGTCAAAAGAAAACAGAGTAAATCACATTAGCAAATTGAAATAAATGAGGAATTTTTGTAATGAACGAGAAATAATAGACAAATCCCATGAGAATTTCATGAGTTATATAGTCTTATCTGTCAAGTAATGCAAAATCAGATTGAACTCATTCACGAGAAATACAATTGGCTTTGTTATTAGAAACGAAGGACAAAATTGAGGAATTTTAATGGGATTAGTAATTAGATCGGAAAACTACCATTGTTTAGAAGAAAAGGAGGATTCTTTTTTTATTATGCTAAAAATGCCTTTTTACAAAACAGAGGAAGAGCCATGAAAATTGAGTCAATGCCTGCTTGGATGCTGATAAAATGTGTGAAACAAGAAATATGGAGGTTTGTAAAAATACAAACAACTACGCAGGACTGAGAGAAAAGTTCTAATCGTTTTAGTACATTTTAGAAAAACAGAACAAAAAGAAGTAAACTTTTAGCAGAGGAGAGCTTTAAAGAAATGTTTTTTAAATTAAAATTGAAAACAAACTCGATCAAGAAAAGACAGAGCACAGAATCCCAGAATTGGAAACCTGAATACCGGAAAAGGGATTTAAATAACAGGATTCTCCTTATCCCATAAAAGGAAATGACACAAATTTCGAATGAAAAAACGGTAAAATAGTAATTAGTAGTATTTGTTGACAAAAATGAACCAAAAAGTAGAAACCAAACCAAGATGAAAAAGAATAGATTAAAAAAATAAAAGAGGGAATGCGAATTTGAAAGGAAAGTATTGAACCTGAATACAACGATGATCCCTGTGATAAGCTAGACAGAATGAGCAGAGAGCGCCATTCATACAATCTAAGCAGTACATATTGCATTCACTCTTGTGAGAATCGACATGATGCTTGCATTGAACAAAGAAATGTTCTCTTAACAAAGGTTTCAGCCATGGAGGCCACCTGTTGTCTTCTTCATCAGGTCCACCAGCTCCCTATCAAAGACACCAAAGACATTAAACACCATTTCATTAACACACAATTTAATAAATACCCAGATCAAAAAACCAAGAAAAAAAGCGAAAAAAGCTGGAAAAAAAAAAAAGCAAATTAAAGAAAGATAGGAAACAGAACAATGAGGAAAAAAGGAGTTTTCTTGGGAATGGAAATACCATTATTCTTCTGTTCTTGGGCTTGATTTCACGAACAGTGGATTCTTGATTTTCGATCGCCAGCTTGAACTGATTGAAAAGAGAAAAACTCAAGAGTATGCTCTGTTTTTTGTTTGAGTGAGATTTTAGAGAGAGAAGCGAAGCATAGGCGGCGAGAAAGAGAGAAATAAAAAATTTTAGAAGGGATGAGGTCGTTCTTATCTACACAAAGTCTACACCCGAACCTAAATCCGAAGCTAAGCTCTCGGTGAGAGAGAGATGCGTTGAGTGCAAGGAACCAACCTCCTTCTTTCCTTTTTATTTCCCTTTCTGCCTTACATGTTCACTCTCTCTCTCTCTTTGGTCTTATCATTTTATTTTATTTTTTATTTTCTAAAGTAATTTGATTATTTAATTCCTTAATTGACAGTCATTATCGGTGAGGTAATTAATTTTAATTGTGCATTGTATTTTTTTTTTTTCATGTGATGGAAGGACAGATATGGTAATATTTTTAATAGTGAATTAACATCAAGTATGTTGAATTTTGCTTATTGTCATGTCCAAGTTCTTTGTATCAATACTTTTGAGTGATTTTTTTTATTAATTTATTTTGTCTTATTTTTTATTTTTTGAAAATTTTATCAGTTTTGGTTTGTCTAATTTCCTTTTATTGATTATATATCACAAAATTTCTATAAAAAGAAAAAAAGAAGAAGAGGAAGTTAGATAAAATAAATAACAAATGAAGACAAATTGATTGGGGAAAAACCAAATTCATGAGAAAGCTTAGGAATTTAGATTAGGGATGAAACGAGGTTGGTATCAAGTTTGGCCCTAAATAATAGCATGGATTTTGGTTTTGGCCGGCCATATCTCTTATTAGAAAACAAAACTATGCATTTAATGGAAAAATTTTAGATAAAATTTTTTAGGTGAAGTTAGTATTTTAAAATTGATTAAACCAAAATTAAAATTAAAAATCAAAATTAATAGATTAAAAAAGTTTATTACATAAATCAAATGTGTAAATTTTTTTAAAATTAATAAATTTTGATACTTTTTATCTATGTATTTTTAGTGAAAATTTTGATATAATTTTTATTATTGAATAAATATTAATCAAATTTATATTATAAACTACATTTTTAATATTTTTCATGTATCATTGATATTCTCATTAAATTTTATTAATTTATTAGTTTATATTTTTTATTAAAATTTTTATTGAATAATTTTTAATTAAAAATTTCATAAGTTTTACCTACTTAACTTTATTTAGTCTACATTTAAACAGTTTGAGAATTATTGCATGATATTAGAATTAAAAAAAATAGCTTTTCTTAGGATGTAGATTCTTGTAAAATCAGGTTCGATCATCAAAATTTACAATTTTTTTTCTAAAATTCACTAAAGCTCTTCCAAGAATAATATCTACATTTCCTTTTTTTTTTTTTTTTACTATAATGATTTATTTTCATTTATATAAATCACCCCAATCAAATTAGCATTAAAAATTTTATGAAGAAAGAGGAATAAAATGGACTCATTCAAATAAGGTTATGGCTAGAATTTAAGAAAGGAGTTAATTTTTTTTATTGGAGAATTAAGGACTAAATTTACCACGAAAAATCACATGTAAATTGTGCTTGAATAATATAAAGATTTAGGTACATGACTAAGCGATCCCATCAATCATTATAGGCTATAGCATCGGAATTTATTCAAGTTTACCATTGAGTTGATAGAATACCAAATTCATGAACCATTAGTGATCCCAGCTTCCAAATGGCATACTATTCTACTAAATTGCCAAATTGTTTCTTTTTCATTATACTTGCAATTCAAGTAGATTAAGTTTACATTTATATAACTATGTTAAAAGTAGAGGGGTTGAAATTGACATTAATAACAAGAATTCAATTTTTTTTTCTCTAAGACTTTTGTCCAAAATTCAAACTAATATCATACATATCACACATGTTAAACTCAATCTAGACATCATCTTATAATTCTTTGTTATTGTTTCTTATATCTTAGTAGATTAAAAGCTTAAAATTTTTCGTTTTACTTTGGTCTGGAACAAATAATAACAATAAAATTTATATTGAATATATTGTTAATATATAAATTTTACATATTATTAATAAATTAAATAATAATATTTTATTAATAAATAAATATCAATATTTAAAATTAATATAAAAATTATATATATTTTAAAAAAAATTATTAATAAAATATTATCATCGGATTTACTTTTATAATAATGATAAATTTTATGCCATGTAATGCATGGTAGATTTAGCTAACAAAATAAGGTTTTAAGAATTTTTTTTCATCAAAACTATAGGTTTATTCCCCTTTATTTTCTGTTTTTGTTTTTTATGATAAGCATTATTTATTCTTGAGATATATTTTTTATATATGTATTATTTATGGAAGAATGGGATGCGAAACGGAAAAAAGTAAATGGAGATATTCTAAAATAATTGCTGTCAAATAAGGTCAGTGTAGTACTTGAATAAATATCTAAATGTGGTTTCTTAAAATAAGAAAAGTTGTGGGGTCCACGATCTAGAGAACACCCATCCTTAGAGATAATCAAAAAGAGATCATGGATGGACAAATTCAACTTGGGTCTTAAATGCCAAAAAAAAAAAAAAAAAAATCAAATACAATGAGAAAAAAGTTTTTTTTTTTTTTTTAACTTCGTATATATTTAAAAAATATATATTATTATGTTAATTTTGTTTATAAAATTAAAAAATTCCCTTAAAAATATATCAGATAATTTCTCACTAAATAATAATAAAAAATGGTTTTTTTTTTTTTTTAATTTGACTTGAATAGATCATGCCGCTTAAAACGTCAACCACCTAACAATGCCATAATTTTGGTATAATTAAAATATTTTTCTCGTTGGCTCATTCCGTTACTATTAAAATATGATATTTAATATATTTTAATTTTAATTTACGTAATTATATTTTATATTTTTAGATTACGATTTTTTTATAAAAAATAATAGTTAATACGAGTAAGTAACTTGAAATGAAATTTTAAATGATTTTAATTAATAAAATAATATGTAAAATGGGATTTTAATTTGACTAGAAAAGATCATGCTGCTTTAAAAAGATCAAGCCACCAAGCATGCCATAATCTCAAATAGTAAAATGCATAATATAAATAATGCGTCTGAAAATGATGTTAAGTGTGTGATTGCATCACAATCACCTAATAAGCTTAGAAGAAGAGGATCATCTTTCGGATTCATTCAATTTGGATGATCTTTAAAGATCCCTCATTCAGATTTTTGAATCATTCCTAAAATTTCACAAGTCTTTCATGAGATTTCTTGGGAAAGAAGATTTAATTCTCCTTCCCCCAAAGAAAGTTTCCAAAAGTCACCCATTTTTTTTAATGTTTGTAAATTTGTTTTGTTGCCATATTGTTTTTTTTTTCCTTAAAAAATTTCATATTTATAAATCACTTATTAATAAAAAATTGTGAGGGTTCAAATATATCATACTAAAAGTCTCTTATCCAATTAAATTAACAAAAATATAATCAAATAATTATTTAATCATATAAAATATAATAATTTAATGTGATTTGATTTGATCGATTTACGTCAACAGATAAAAAATAAAATTAATTAATTATAAAAATTATAAATATATATCAAATCAATCTTATTCAATAATCAATACACTCTCAATTTTTTTTAATTTTATAAAATATTATCAATCAAAATAAATATAAAACTATATATATTTATGCACTTATATCTATATGAACATTCTCAATAATTATATGATTAAATTCGTTGAATAAGCTTATACGTTATATACGTTCATGAAATGATTCATGTTTCAATGACAGATAATAAAAGAGAAAAACAATTTAAATGCATTTCAGCCACGCAGCCATGGAATTTCGCATCTTTGAATGAAATATATATACATATTGACAAATTACTTGAATTTTTTTATTTTTATATTGGAAAACATTTTTTAATTGGTGTTGCTTAAAGAAAAACTAATCAAGACGATAATAACTTATTGTAAACTGTATTATACCTTTTTTTTGGTAGAGAAAAAGTTTGCAATCCAAAGTTTTCTCCTCTCTTAAAACATGAAATCTTTAACTTAACATGATTTGCAGCAATTGATGCATTTTGCTGTTGAATTTGAACTTTTTTTTTTTTAATCAACAATATTATGAAGGTCTCATAGTCAAATACATGAATTAGATAGAATTGTCAAATTGCCCAAGTCCAAACATTTGCTTTATGAAATAGAACAATTGGGAATTAAACCTCTTTCAGCTTCATCTTAACACTCCAACATCCCTGGACTAGTAATTGCATCTTCCAAGGAAACAATTACCAACTTTAACCCAGGAAAAAAAAATCTGCTCAATAATTAATAGGATGCTTTGAAAACTTTGACTAAACTGAATTTGAAAACAAAATGTTGTTCTTTAAAATTTTTTTCATAACATAGATTTTAAGTTTGAAACAAGATTTGAGCAAAACAATACCATAGTCTTGCAGCCATTAATTTGACCCAAAAATAATGGCAAACCAAACCTCAATTATTGCCATCACTGTAAACATCAAAACTCTTTATATGATATTCCAACTTCTCTATTTTTATTCAACGAAATTGGAAAGCAAGTCAAGCAACCATAAAAACAACAAACAATAGCTGAAAGAAAAGGAAAAAAAAAAGGATTTAAATAGGGATAGTTGAACATTTCTCATGATAACTATCAGCAAAAGCCCCTCTTTTTCTTTGGGCCCTTTTGGCACATTGATTAAACAATTAAATTTCCATCAAAACTTTATCACCAAAAACCCATTAATTAAAAAATATGAAAGAAGAAAATTTGATTAGTAGAAGATTTTTTTTTTATCTCGAATTTGACTAGGGATGGCCTCTACTAGGGAAGTCAAAGGCACCAGGTTTGAAGCCACGGACACGGCACACCACTCATGACTAAAAGAAAAAGAAGATTTAGATTGCTCGTCGATGCGACGTTGTTTTCCCACAGTGTTTTTGGTGTTTGACTCGAAGAAAGGAAGGATGAAAAGCCACGGCTTTTGGTTTTGGCCCACTGTTGGGGCTCATCCCCAAAGGGGCCCCGTCGGAGTTTGGGACCCACTTACATTATTGCAATATTTACGTGGGACCTGCGCCTTTTTTTAAGCTTTGAGAAACTTCGTGGCTGGCCTAGACACATCCCCAATAGCGGTAGTAACATCAAAACAGTAGCATACACATCTAAGTCTTTGTAGCTTTGGGATGTTCAAGCCAACGAGAATGCGCCATGTCATTACGTGTGGAGTTTGACTTTGACTGGACGGATTGTAGGCCTAGCTTTGACCTTGTCTTTTGTTCGAGGTCTGCCCAGATTAAGGTCACCA